CTTGGCTTGAAAAGGAGAACCAACAATTGGCAGCAGAGCCAGAACCTGATCACCTGGACTAAAGTGACGAGGCTCAGCTCGCCGATCATATATGCTCTTCATCCTGTCCTGTGAAGATGATAGCTTCTCTTTAGCCATTTCACCAGCGGCATACAAGCGTCGCCGAAAATCACACACATATGATAACAGGGACTGAGGAGGCTCGGGAGACTTCCAGTCATCCTGGAGAACAGATAAAAGCCCACGCACCTTATGTCCAAACACTAGGTCATTTGGGCTAAAACCTGTGCTCTCCTGTGAAACCTCCCTAGCAGCTAACAGTAACCAAGGCAACCCCTCCTCCCAATCCTTATCCATCTCAGTACAATAAGCTCTCAACAAAGACTTAAGCGTTTGATGGAAACGTTCCAGTGCTCCTTGACTTTGGGCATGATAAGCGCTAGACAAGTTGTGTTTAATATGGAGTTGTTGGAGAACCTGTCCAAAGAGATTAGAGGTGAAATTAGATCCTTGATCACTTTGAATGACCTTAGGGATTCCAAACAGTGAGAAAAACTGAGTCAAAGCTTTTAACACAGACTTAGTCGTGATAGACCGGAGAGGATAGGCAGCAGGAAACCTAGTGGTCTGACACATCACAGTCAACAAATAATTACTACCCTTTCTGGAACGAGGCAGAGGACCAACACAGTCAATAATCAGATACTCAAAAGGTTTATTGAGTACAGGAATAGGGAACAGTGGTACCGGCTTAATAGCTTGATTAGGTTTACCAGTTAATTGACAGGTGTGACAAGTTTTGATGAAATCAGAAACATCCCTCTTTAATCTTGGCCAAAAAAAATGTCGTAATATGCGATTGTAGGTTTTTCTCACACCCATATGCCCAGCAACGTCATTGTGAGAAGTTGTCAGCACCAACTCACGAAGCTTAACTGGTACCACAACCTGACTAATCGCCTCCCCCAGAAAACAACTACCATGAGACATCCACTTTCTCATCAGGACCTCCTCTTGGAGAAAATAGCCCTGTGCGACATCTCCCAACTGTTCCACAGGCACAATTTGGTCCCGCAACTCTTCTAATGTAGGGTCAGTCCGTTGCGCCTCGATTAAATCGGAGCGGGATACAGATAACGGGATAACAGGGAAAACAGTAACAGACTTCTTTATGGTATTCTCGTTAGCCAGCTCCGTGACCAGGTCGTCATGGATCATAGAACGCGTCACTGCACACGCAGAAAACACCTCTGGGAAATTCTGCGCACTCTCATCAGGAATCCCTACAATTGACGGCTTAGTGGAAACCACTAAAGATGGAGACACGATAGGCCACACACGCTCCCCAGCCAAGTTATTTCCAAGGATCACGTCAATACCCTCAATAGGCAATGAAGGACGCACCCCCACAACAACCTCACCTTTCACCAATCCACAATCCAACATCAGTTTATGCAATGGAACTGACAGAGTGTTCAAACCTATTCCCCTAATTAGAACACTATTCCCCGAATCAGTCTCCGCAGAGAAGGGTAACACAGATTCCAACACAAATGATTCAGAGGCACCTGTGTCTCTTAGGATCTTTACTGGCACTAGGTTCTTACTTCCTACCATAGACACAAAACCCTCCGTAACGAAAGGTAAATAGTCGGGATCAATATAACCCTTCACCTGGCTCCGGGCATGAGACAATGCGTCATGAGTGAACTGATGTGGAACAGGCGCGGCTAACGCTGCAGGCCTCGATTTACCATAAGCACCTGTACTGAATTTACCCCTAGACCTAAGAATCGGACATTCATTTTTCCAATGACCTAATTCTTGACAGTAGTGACACTCTTGACCAACGTCAGTTTTACCACGGGTATCAGGCTCAACCCTATTTGAATGAAACTCCGCCCGGGAACCGAAGTATCTCGGCGAGCGAGGCCCAAATCTCTGCGAACGCCCCCACTCACTCCGAATACGGGGTTCTGCAAAAACATTTTTGTGAGTCAACACATATTCATCTGCCAAAACCGCAGCTTCAGCAACAGTCTTTATTTTTCGTTCGTTAATGTACGTCGCTATACGATCAGGGATTGTGTCCTTAAATTGTTCTAACATAATCAGATCACACAGCCCTTGGAAAGTCATAACTGCAGAGGCAGAACACCAGCGATTGAACTGTGAAGATAATATTCGCGCAAACTCAACATGAGTCTGCTGATCATCCCTTTTTAAAGTTCTAAATCGTTGGCGGTAAGCCTCAGGGACCAATTCGTAACTCTGTAACACAGCCGTTTTAACCTTCTCATAACTAACACTGTCTGCTACACTAAGAGCTGAATATGCTTCTTGCGCTTTACCAGTCAGCACACACTGCAACATCAAAGTGCGATCAGAATCAGGCCAACTCCTAGCGTCAGCAACACGCTCAAACAACGAAAAGAATGTCTCCGGGTCCTTTTCATTAAACTGGGGCAACAACCGTAAATTCCCAACAATATCAAATGTGTCTGGATTACGACCAAAAGAGGAACGACCCCTAGGTAACTCTGGGTCACCTTCCCAGAGCAAACTCTCCCCTGAGAGCTTTCCTTCCCTAACCAACTCTAGTCGCTCTTGTTGCAGCTTGATTTTAGCACGCTCCATATCCTGTTTAAATTCCAATTCCCTTTCATATTTTACACGATCATGCTCCATTTTAGCTCTCTGTCCATTTCGTTCATGCTCCATTTTAGCTTGTTCATACTCCATTTTAGCTCTTTGTCCATGCTCTAGCTGTAACAGAAGCAGTTCTTTCTGCTGTTCAAAAAGAAGACCACTATGACTAACCGATGGAGCGGTCATTGTAACATATCGGGGAGACAACGTGTCCTCAGCAGAGGCTGCCCCAGTGGTAACATCCAGAATACCACTCTCCATCAAATTGGCCTTCAATATTAACCTAATAGAATTTTTTAGGCGTTTATCACTAATTTCAACCTTGTAGTGTTCAGCAACCTTCAACAGCTGTTCTTTAGTACATAATTCTAACAGTTCTTCTGATGGAAAGCGAATGAACTCATCTACATTAGACGCCATAATCAGGAAAAAAAAAATATATATATATAGATCATAATAATCTTGCTCAACCCCTCTGCTGAGCACACCAGACACAAGAGAAATGACAATCACACTGAGCACCACAGTAGAGAGCTGGGATATGGAGCTTCCCCAAAACCTACAATAACTCAACCCTAGTCTTCGTGCAGATTCGCGGTGGGTAATTACGCACTGTAGCCCGCTGGCAAGGAATTAAACCCCCCAGCACGCTGGTAGATTTCCCCAAGCCACGGATGTGCCCCCGAGACAACTGCTCAGTCCACTGACACCACACAAAAATAACAAACATTTAACCATGCCCAACGTATCCCAAAACAAAACACGTCACTAAGCCTATCAGGGGAAAAAGCTATAGCTCCGGGTAGCAAATGTCACTACCCTACCCAATCTCCCACTGAGGTACACAGCCGATTGTACTCACCTCAGACCGATGTCCCAACAGCGAGTAGAGCAAGAGTTTCCAGGCTGGGCAGGGACTGGAAACTAACCAATGTACTCTCTCCAACGCAGTACAAAACCCAAAGGCAACCAATACTGGCCTATCAAACTCAAACAAACTAACAAAATTTACAAAGAAAGACCCTACAGAATTGGACATTAACTCCACGTTCTCCCAAACACAACCAGTTCAAAATCCCGGACGAGCCCCCACTTGTCACGAACCGGCTCAAGTTCGTAACAAAATGGAGACACGTGGAGACAAGGAGTACTCAAAGTATATATTTATTAATTAAAGTAAACTAACTGAAATAACAATGGGGTGTGTAATCAGTAATCAGTAGTGTAAGTGAGTGTTTGCTTGCATAAATGTAATATAGAAAAGTGTTGAAAAGTGCCAAAGCAAACAACCCAAAAAGGCCACAAAAATATCACAACCAAAATCAAAGTATCTGCCTGGAGAGAGTCTCCTTAATGAATGTGGAAGAGGTCCATTTATCCTGGGACACACCCGGCCCAGGTGTTTCCCATATATCTGACGACCCTCCAAACTCCGCCCACCGGCATCCTAATAAGGAAACAAGAGCAAAGAGAGAATACGGCAGACAGAGTGGGAGGGTCGTCACACTTTTTACTGAGGAGTGGCTTCCGTCTGGCCAATCTCCCATAAAGGCCTGATTGGTTGAGTGCTGCAGAGATGGTTGTCCTTCTGGAAGTTTCTCCCATCTCCACAGAGGAGCTCTGTCCGAGTGACGATCGGGTTCTTGATCACCTCCCTGAGCAAGGCCCTTCTCCCTCGATTGCTCGGTTTGGCCTGGCGGCCAGCTCTAGGAAGAGTCTTGGTGGTTCCAAACTTCTTCCATTTAAGAATGATGGAGGCCGCTGTGTTCTTGGGGACCTTCAATGCTGCAGACATTTTTTGGTACCCTTCCCCAGATCTGTGCCTCGACACAATCCTGTCTCGGGAGCTCTACGTACAATTCCTTTTGACCTCATGGCTTGGTTTTTGCTCTGACATGCACTGTCAACTGTGGGACCTTATATAGACCGGTGTGTGCCTTTCCTAATCATGTCCAAATCCAAATCGACCTCCAAGCCAAGATAAAGAATGCATAATGAGTAAGGCTGCAGCGCTCATCAATATTTTATGAGCACAGAACATTAAGTGTTACATCACTTCAGGGAAGATCATTCTACTCTGTTCCTCCCCCCAGACCCATCCCTCTGTAGGATGATCTTGGGAGTGCTAAGAGTCTTTTTCCTGAATGGGACTCATGCTGAGGAAAAACTCTGGCCTTTTATCTATATCTCTGACAGAGATGCTCATCTCTCGGACCTCTAGAGCATGGTATCACCCCAGCCATCTGGAGTTGGCGTGAGAGTAGGCTGGGAGCAGCAGGCCTTCAGTAATGAAGCCTCAGATGAGAGAGCAGCGCAGCAGTAGTCTCCCTAACTTTCTCTTTCTCTCCCAGGCTTTCAGAGAGTCACTGGAGCATAGGCTCAGCAGCTGTCATCTTCACTTCGCCATGGAGTTCATATCCTCTCTACTCAGTGATCTCAAACTTGCAGTGAAGAGGAATGAGTACTGGACTCAAAAAGCAGTGCATACCTAAACATGGTCTGTCATAAAGAAGATGAGAGGTCAAGGCAGATGGCCTGGTTGGGTGCCTCCACACTCCCTGTGAGGCTGGCGAGAGACACTGCTGAGACATGTCTAATTACCCAATGTACTCCAGGGAGGTGCAGGAGGCTGGCGCTAGCTAGCTTCATTGGCTCCCACTTTGCCCCCAACTCACAATTTGGCTGGAGTCTCTCCTTATTCTCACCCTCCTCTTCCGATGTCTCCCTCTGTGTGTAAGATGTATCCCTCGGCCACCCTTTGGCCTACACACCCATGTTCTCTTACAGCAGGCCAGGGTGTCAGGTGCCATAGTGTAGCCTAAATAAATCATTTATCATGCGTCTGTCTGCACAGAAAGTCTCTGTCTGAGCCAGGCTGGAGAACAAGGGGATGCCAGGTGAGACTGACTGCCAGCTGATGCAATTCTGAGTCACTGTATGCTTTGGGTAAACTGACTCCATGATGAAACGAGACAAACTGCACATTGGTCATCTAGGCTTATATGATGAACATGCAATGATCCAGTGGACGATTACTCAAGCATCCACAACACAAATCCCCTCAGTAGAACGAGCATGAAAGCTCGAAACATTCTGCCCTTGAATGGTTCTGCCTGCAGTGTTGTGGGTATTTTCTGTGATGTCTGTCACAGGCATGGCCTAGCACCAGTACTCCTGTCCCCGGGGGGCTCCAAAAGACGTCAGTTGCCATTTCTGATTTTAGCATTGTTTAGCATAACATCAACGGCTTTGCACCAAGTTCTGTGGACGCTCTGGAGCGAGGTCATGCTCCAGCTATGACGTGCGTAGCAGCATGGGACAGACGTCCATGTCCTTTCTGGTGTGTGTATGGTGTGAAGTGTGTGTGTGTGGGGGGCGGGGGCAGGCTGTTGACAGGACCTCTCTGTTGTGGATGTAGGAGATTAGGAGCTGCGCCTCAGTGGTGCACAGCCAAATCCCCTCTGGCTGCTCTCCACCCTCCACCCCCACTCTACAGAGATGGCGAGCGAGAGAAGGAGACTGAGGCTGGAGGGCGAACCCTTGGAGCAGTGTGTCCTCTTCACCTCTAGCTACCTCTGTCTCGGTACTGACAACTTTGTCCCTGTGTGCTTCGACTACTCCTTTAGTGTTGTGTGCCCTGTCTCTGTAATGGTTTGTGTTGCAGTATAGTGTATATACAGTGCCTATATCCCATTGTGTCACAGGGGCATTTTACAATGTTATTCAACCCTTTTAAGATGAATGGGGGGGGGGGGGGGGTGTGAGGTAAAGAGAAGTGCATGTAAAATTATTGAAGATAATGAGGTCATGAGGGGAAGGCAGTTAGCTAGGTGGAACAACCATGTTTTATATCTTAAGATGAGTGCACGAACTGTAAGTCACTCTGGATAAGAGTGTCTGCTAAATTACTAAAATGTAATTGTAAATAAGAGGAACACCCAGGCGTGTGTGTCATGCACCCTTCCTTAATCTCCCGTGGGCAGATTCTGCATGCAGACCGAATAATCTGCCAGGACTGAATGGGATGCATGAGCTAACGAGCAGCATTAGTTACAGTTTCTGGGGTTTTCATCACTGGTTATTTGGACGTATCAGGATTGGGCGAAGGCAGTGCTTAAACTGCTTCAGTGTGTCGATTGGAAGGGGGGCTTTGGCTGAGTTTCCTATTGTGAGGGTGGATACTTCGTTTTTGCCAGGTCTGTCAATTTCTAACATTACATTTTAGTCATTTAGCAGACACTCTTATCCAGAGCGACTTACAGTTAGTGAGTGCATACATTTTCATACTGGCCCCCCATGGGAATTGAACCCACAACCCTGGCGTTGCAAACGCCATGCTTTACCAACTGAGCTACATAGGACTTTACATGTATGAACACAGAAGTTAATCACGTAGCTGACCAAATTATGCTAGATTCTACTTCTGGGTTAACAGAGATTAGTGTTCCCTGCTCTGCATAAAGGTTCTCATACATACAGCATACAGTAGATCTACATTGTATTGTCTGAGATTCAAGTTAATCCCTAACATAATGGAAAGGAGTGTCACCTTTACATACATGACATACTTTACAGTAAACTATTTGACTGGTTAGTGTTACTGACAAATTTAGTTCAGAATCTTGAACCAAACTTGGATAAAGGCATGGAATAATTTTGTTTCGATTAATACAGTACAGGTTGGTCTTTCTTAGATGGTGTTTGTTTTTAATTTTTTTAAGCATTTACAAGAGCAGGACCAAGGTTAGGCTAATGAGTCATCTATCCATCACTTTTCCTAAAATGATTAAACAGCCTGCCCTGTACTCTGACTGACTGGCTCTGCCCAGCGCTAAACCCAGTCCTCTAGCCTACACTGCCAGACCATGCTAGTGTTCAGCAGCTCTCTGTGCTGAACGTTACTGTTCACCTGTCCTGTCTGACCCACTGTGTGCTGTTAAGGTGTGTCTGTATTTTCCTCCCATACTGAACACAAATTACTCAGATGAACCAATGGGGCCTCTCGAAGCTGCTTGGACTAGCCCTGCTAGCTAAATGTATTTTATTGACAGATCTCCAGTTACTGATAAAGTGGATGATAATGAGTGCACAGCAGCAATGGCTAATGGCCTAACGTTCCTTTTTAAAGACGTATAGCCCTCCTAATGCTTTCAATCCACACAATGCCTTCCAAAGTGCTCTTTTTGTTTTTTACATTGGCTGCCTTTACACAGGCAGACCAATTCTGATATGTTTTCCACTATTTGGTTTTTTGGCCAATCACATAAGATCTTTTGTCATCCAGATATTTTTCACAGCTGATCTGATTGGTCAAAATACCAATGTGAAAAAAATATCAGAAATGGGCTACCTGTGTAAACGCAGATATAGAAGACGGGCAATATTCTTGTCTAGTGCAGAATCAAGATAGAGGCTACCTGCTCGACCAGTCCGGTACCTGGGGAAAATATATTCTGTGTGTATAAGGCCAATGCCTAGAGCACCCATTTTACTGTACCAATAGGTTTCATCAAGTGTAACAAATGGTCATTCCATACCATGTATTCCTATTTATTTGCATGTTATTTTGCATTTAGAAAGTATTGCTGTTGGAGTCTGCTGAAAGCCTATCGTTAATCATAGGAAAGAAAGAGCCTTCCTGTATCCTTCACTATTAGACAGTTCTGGACTCAGTCTGAGTTCTTTTTTTTTCTGCTGATTTGTGTGTCTCAAAATAGCCCTTCACTATCAGTGAGCCATTTCTTCAGTTAAGAAATGCATGGCCCCTCTGCTGGAGACGAGCCTACTGAAGGACGGACACACACACACACACAGGCAGGCATACAAACATAATGGGGACTCAGACATGCTGACAAAAGGGTCTTAGAAATGGGTACGGTCTAAAGCGCACAAACCCAGAGATGGAGAGAATCGGAATACACACTCACTCATGCACACTCTCTCACACTCATACACACACATTGGACCACTCCCTCCCTCTTACACCACAGTGGATCCATTCAGCTTAGATCACAATAGAGGCTCCTTGTGATTTGGACACAGCATGTACCCCAGTAGAAGAGTGACCATTGTGCCCCAAAGCCTGTCTCCTCTTCTAGAGAGTGTGTGTGCTTGCGTGTCCGTCCTCTGGGTTTATGTGCTGACCCACATAACTCCCCCAGTGGCTTCACAACATCAGTATCGACCTACTGTACACTGTTGACCACAGCAGCCAGACCAGTCATATAACTCTATGCCTGCTGACGCGGAGCTAGTTATCTCTACAGGAAGGAAACAACCCTGCTGCCTCACGCTACATGGTTTACCAAGAGTGTTACCTAAAACATACAAAACATAAATACATTGGTTATGGCTATAGTGGTGGTACAGTAGCTTTCCTTGTTTATTATTTATTACCTTGTTGACCTCTAACCCCTGACGTGTCTATCCCCAGCTGGACCTGAGCCAGCCCCTGGAGGAGCAAGGTCCCCTGGACGTCATCATCCACAAGCTGACCGACCTGATCCTGGAGGCCGACCAGAACGACACCCAGTCAGTCCTGCTGGTGCAGAGAGTGCAGGTGAGGGAGGGAGGGAAGTGGAAAGAGGGAGGGAGGAACAGAGTTACAACGGCCAACAGACTATGATTCCACAATACCACAGACAGATTTCACCACTACAACACGTCTGGTAATTAGTGGTTTTGCTAATTAGAGGGGGAAGTGGTAATGTATTTCTGTATCTCACAGGAACAGCCAGTGTTGTGAATGTTGTGCACTCATTTTGTGTCTCATCTTAGAGGGAACAGTTTGAAATGAATGTGTTTTGAAATGTGAGGACATGAAGGTGTGTGTGTGGTGATGGTTGTCTGTGTGTTTGTTCTTGTGTAAATCGATCTGGCAGTGCTTTAAAAGGTGTTAGATGCGATACCCTCCTCCTTCTCTTACCCCCCCCTCTCCTCCTCCTCTGTCTCTGGATGACTCAGAGGGCTCTGCTGTTATCGTGTGCAGAGTCACTCAGTCACGCCATCCTCATTGCCAGGGACTGACACTGTGCCGCTGCTGACTGCTTATTTGGAAAGGAAAGATGGGGATGTTCAAAAGGGACAGATAATCAACAGAACAAAATGCTTCTCAGATTTTAATCTATTCATCTTAATGTCACATCAGCACGAAATGTTCCTTTCCTTTTCTTTTATGCTATTTTAAAAGAGTGGGGATCAAGCCTATTGTACCTGTCAGGGACTCCACCTGAAATGATATAGATCTTGGCAGTAGATGACTGGGATGGTTGGTAAACTCCCTCCTGTCGGTATTTTATGACTCAGAATATCTCCATCTTGCTGTGTGAAGGGCTAGTAAGTATTGCTATCAGAAACGCCACACAGCAATATAACAAGCAGGCAGGTTTTCTTTCAGGGAGATTAGAATTTAACTTTGACCCTGCCACTGAACATCGCATATAACATAACACAACATAGTCTTGCATTCAGTCAGCCCGTCATTCATTGGCATGGAAACAAACAGCATTAATGATCAGAACTGTCACTGCATCCTGTAGTTTAGGGAATGAGGACTTCATTGTGCAAACATTGCCTGATAGTTTGCATACTTCCTTTTGACCATAACTTAATTATATTTTCTCTAACTGTATAAGGCTTTGTTTAAGTCTTAAACGGCACCCAACCATATCCTGTGGATTTAGGTGAATGTGGTATTATTTTCTTTAGAGGACTTGTAGAGGGAATACCACAACAGCCTTCTTTTGCAAAAGAGGCAACCACTGCTAGTGCTTGTGTATTGGGAAGAATACCACAAATAAACACTTGGACTTGTGTGGCCTTCTGTAAATCAAGTATAGGCCTATGATTTGGGTTATACGTAATGAATATGTTGGCCCATTTCATTTGCATATGTACAGGAAACTGCCATAATAAAGGAAACACCAACATAAAGTGTTTTAATAGGGTGTTGGGCCACCATGAGCCAGAACCGCTTCAATGCACCATGCCATAGAGTCTACAAGTGTCTGGAACTCTATTGAAGGGATGCAACACCATTTTTCCACCAGAAATTCCATCATTTGGTGTTCTGTTGATGGTCGTGGAAAACGGTGTCTTAGGCGCCACTCCAGAATCTCCTATAAGTGTTCAATTGGGTTGAGATCTGGTTGCTTGGGCGTCCATGGCATATGCTTTACATCGTTTTAAATGCTCATCAAATCATTCAGTGACCGCTTGTACCCTGTGGATGGGGGCATTTTCATCCTGGAAGAGACCAATCCCATCAGAATAGAAATGCTTCACCATAGGTTGAAGGGGATCACTCAGAATGGCTGTGTATTTATTGGCGTTTACCTTGCCCTCTAAAGGCATCAGCATGCTTCAGTTTGGCTGGCGCCTAGCGAGTGTGCTCGCATACTCCCTTAAAAGACCTTCGCTTGTATACAGTATACACTTCCTTATAATAGTCAGAATTGATCTAATGACTCAAGAAATCATTTAATTTAGAAGTTTTTTGCTTAGGAGATCTTAGTCGCACAATTTTACATCTAGCATATATGTTTGGTGCAGTATTTCTCAATGGAAAAAATGTGCATGAAAACGAGTCGTCTCTCGTTAAATGACAAATACTTTTATGAAGAATCCCTACTGTTGACCAATCACAGACGAAGGGGCATAGACTTCAGCTACCGATTTTGGCTTGCCTTGAAAAAATGTGTACCCGAATAGCCGAAGAAACCCTTACCGAAATCCGAAACGAACAAAAAGATCACAAAATGTCATCATGTATGCACAAACTCTTCCGAACCGTGAGTGGACCTAAACCATGCCAGGAAAATGCACCCCACACCATAAAAGAGCTGCCAGAACCCTCATTTACTAAAGTGTTTCCTTTATTTTGGCAGCTACCTGTAGGTAGACATCTGTCTCCATTATTACCTAGCACACTCTGCCAATACTCAAATCCCCATGGAGGATCCACTGTCTGTCACACCCTTTTTTTCTCTCACACATATTTGTAGGAGATATATATTTTTAAAGCAAATTGATGGCCCAAATACAGAGGAGTTGTAAGTTATTTTAAACCACTGGAAGATTAGTTTGGCTTTAGTTTTTGATGGCAACATGTTTGTCTTATGTAACCGCACGACTGTTTTGATCAGCACTGGCAGGAGTCAAACTCTCTCCACAGATGGATGTTCTGTCTCAAGGAAAATGTGTGTGTAGGCAGGCATTTATGTGTGTGTGTGTGTTTATGTTAGGCTACATTAGACCTCTTTGCCTATGTCTAAAAATGTGTTTATGGAAAATGGAGATTTCACTGATGTTGGAGGGGTTGACTCTTTGCATAATGTGTAGGCCAAAGCATCTGCCAGCTAAAAGACTGACATGAGAGGCTGGCAGGAAGAATGAAAATGGAGAGATTGGGAGATGGAGGATGAAGATGGCTTGGAGAGGAGACGGGAGTGTAGAGACAGGGAGGGGAGAGGAGGATAGAGAGATGGGGGTGTGGTTATATAAATCAGCAAACCTCAGGCTGACCTAACAGCCTGCCATGTAGGGCACAGTGATGTAACCCACTGGCCTGCGAGCATGATGATGACACACCACAACACAGTGGGCATGAAGGAAATGAGCAGGGTACCAAAATGGAAATGCACATGATCCATGTCCTACTGTGACATGTCAGTGTTGCACAGTGTCCAAACTGCCTACATTAGCTGTGATATTTGTGCTCCCTCATAATCTCCCGTGTGTGTGTGTGTGTGTGTGTGTGTGTGGCACCTTGTTTCAGGACTACATTGATGCCCACCCTGAGACCATCGTGCTGGATCCCCTCCCAGCCATCAGGACCCTGCTGGACCGCTGCAAGTCCTACCAGCTCATCCACAGGATAGAGGACTGCATGCAAGGTAGCCACTCACACAACACTGGCACTGTTACGCACTGGGCTAAGTATGATTTAACTCCCAATATCCCCCAGTGCCACTGCCAGTCCTAGACCACAAAAGATCCCACAGGAGTGTGTATGTGGGAATTATTGAGTGAATGATCTGTTGTGTCAAGGATTGGTTGTGATAACCGATCGTTTTGGTTTAGTTTCTGAGAAAGTATCCAGGAGGTGGTGGTGTGACGTATTTCAGTGGTGGATCGTGTCACCCTGTAGTTCAATAATATCATGTTCTGCTTCCTACCAGATGCTTTATGCATGCACTAGAGGAGCATAACACCATAATTGTATTCCTCTCACTATGACAGCACCATCCCTCCTCCTCTCTTCCCTCTGTGAACCCCTAGTGAACCTGGCTCCTGCCTCTGCCAGAGTGTGTATTGTATCCAGTGATGGACTAAAGCTCTATTAGCTAGAGGCTGTCATCCAGCAGGCCAGCAGCACCTAGATCTTCTGTCACAGGAACCATATGCTCCCCAATGGCCTGGCTGTGTAGTCTGTCTGGGTCCAGAGACTGGAGCAGAGCAATGGAATGATGGCACATTAACAACAGGAGAGCTTTTCTCTACTGTAAACACACGTGACCCATCCGCTGTTCATTTACTGAGAACATGGCATGGGACATAAACCTGGAGCCATTACATGCAAACCCTTCCGTACTCGCACGCACCCCACACAGGTGGCTAGAGAGACGGAGACCGAAAGAGTGTGTACGCGTGCGCATGTGTGCCCACTTGAGTACACATTTTTGTGTGTGATGCGTACTGTACTCGCGTGTGTGTGTGTGTAGTTGTGTAGTTGTGTAGTGCTCGTGGGTGGCATGTTCAGCTACAGTGAGGGGAAAAAAGTATTTGATCCCCTGCTGATTTTGTACGTTTGCCCACTGACAAAGAAATGGAATGATGGCACATTCCTGTGGTCCTCTGTAGCTCAGCTGGTAGAGCACGGCGCTTGTAACGCCAAGGTAGTGGGTTCGATCCCCGGGACCACCCATACACACAAAAAAAAATTATGCACGCATGACTGTAAGTCGCTTTGGATAAAAGCGTCTGCTAAATGGCATATTATTAAATGATCAATCTATAATTTTAATGGTAGGTTTATTTGAACAATGAGAGACAGAATAACAACAAAAAAATCCAGAAAAACGCATGTCAAAAATGTAATAAATTGATTTGCATTTTAATGAGGGGAAATAAGTATTTGACCCCCTCTCAATCACAAAGATTTCTGGCTCCCAGGTGTCTTTTATACAGGTAACGAGCTGAGATTAGGACCACACTCTTAAAGGGAGTGCTCCTAATCTCAGTTTATTACCTGTATAAAAGACACCTGTCCACAGAAGCAATCAATCAATCAGATTCCAAACTCTCCACCATGGCCAAGACCAAAGAGCTCTCCAAGGATGTCAGGGACAAGATTGTAGACCTACACAAGGCTGGAATGGGCTACAAGACCATCGCCAAGCAGCTTGGTGAGAAGGTGACAACAGTTGGTACGATTATTCGCAAATGGAAGAAACACAAAATAACTGTCAGTCTCCCTCGGCCTGGGGCTCCATGCAAGATTTCACCTCGTGGAGTTGCAATGATAATGAGAATGGTGAGGAATCTGCCCAGAACTACACGGGAGGATCTTGTCAATGATCTCAAGGCAGCTGGGACCATAGTCAACAAGAAAACAATTGGTAACACACTACGCCGTGAAGGACTGAAATCCTGCAGTGCCCGCAAGGTCCCCCTGCTCAAGAAAGCACATATACAGGGCCGTCTGAAGTTTGCCAGTGAACATCTGAAAGATTCAGAGGAGAACTGGGTGAAAGTGTTGTGGTCAGATGAGACAAAAATCGAGCTCTTTGGCATCAACTCAACTCGCCATGTTTGGAGGAGGAGGAATGCTGCCTATGACCCCAAGAACACCATCCCCACCGTCAAACATGGAGGTGGAAACATTATGCTTTGGGGATGTTTTTCTGCTAAGGGGACAGGACAACTTCACCGCATCAAAGGGACGATGGACGGGGCCATGTACTGTCAAATCTTGGGTGAGAACCTCCTTCCTTCAGCCAGGGCATTGAAAATGGGTCGTGGATGGGTATTCCAGCATGACAACGACCCAAAACACACGGCCAAGGCAACAAAGGAGTGGCTCAAGAAGAAGCACATTAAGGTCCTGGAATGGCCTAGCCAGTCTCCAGACCTTAATCCCATAGAAAATCTGTGGAGGGATCTGAAGGTTCGAGTTGCCAAACGTCAGCCTCGAAACCTTAATGACTTGGAGAAGATCTGCAAAGAGGAGTGGGACAAAATCCCTCCTGAGATGTGTGCAAACCTGGTGGCCAACTACAAGAAACGTCTGACCTCTGTGATTGCCAACAAGGGTTTTGCCACCAAGTACTAAGTCATGTTTTGCAGAGGGGTCAAATACTTATTTCCCTCATTTAAAATGCAAATCAATTTATAACATTTTGGACATGCGTTTTTCTGGATTTTTTTTGTTGTTATTCTGTCTCTCACTGTTCAAATAAACCTACCATTAAAATTATAGACTGATCATTTCTCTGTCAGTGGGCAAACGTACAAAATCAGCAGGGGATCAAATACTTTTTTCCCTCACTGTACATGGAATGATTCAGTGTAGCCCTGTGTCAGAGGAATAGATCAGAGATTTCTCAGAATGTAAAGTGGCATCAGCGGCTTAAAATGGAACACAGAAAATTGCAGTTTCCAAATAGAAATGTTGGTGGTTATGTATCAAGGTCTGTAAGCTGTCTGAATTGAGGAAAGCCTCTGTGTGTGCCCTATGGGCTCACACGACTATGTGGTGGGGGGAGCACGCTGGCGCTTACTCATCAGACATGGTTGAATAAGGGGCCTGCTATAAGGATGTGATGCATCTGCTATTGAGTGACTGAAGTGGTGTACCTTTTGAATGCTCCTGATGCTGTGGTTTTCTCCCAGAAGATACTGGGATGATGAAATGTAAACCGTCATCATCCTAGATCGCATCACACCATGACAACAAAATAACTGTTTGTGATCGAGGATTAAAGTGTTCATTTCTGTAGTCAATAGTGCTGAGCGATTAACCGAAATGTAGGTTATTCTTTTGGGTTTTTTAACAACTAATTGACCAACGTCAGTTAAATTATTTGAATTCCATTTAGTTCGTATTTTTTTCTGTGAGCTCGATGTGCAGTTTATTTGAGATAAATCAGATCAAGCCTGAACTGTGCGATGTAGTAGGGAGTTGTAGTTTCGAATAGGCCGATATTCTACATAGTTTAGTGTAGAGAAAGTGGTAATTAACTACAATGACCATAATGCTTTGCGCGCCTGCTTTAACTTGTCCAGTCTGTGAGGAACAGTCACTGAGAGAAGAGCAAACACTTGATGGAGAGGGATAGAAAGCAGTTGCTTCAAACCTGAAAATATATGAGCTAAGTGATTGATAGTTGGTATTCAGCAGTCATAAAAGGATGCCTTATTTACTTTGAAGAACTACTAAAGTAGTGATTGACAGACAGCATAGGCAGCAGCGCTATAGAGGTGAGATTAAATAAGTAAATAAAACAAATATTTTATTAAAGTAATGTGAATAAATTATGCAGTAATGGGCAGTCACTACCATCATGGGACTTTTATTAATTGTTTTATTCAGTGTTACAACATTTAACCCACATAATGCATAGTGCATTTAATGTCTAAAAAAATTGCCGAAAACTGTGATTATTTTTTTATAATCAAGCCGAAACCGAACGGACTTAAAATCACTCAGCGCTAGTAGTCAACAACCGTGGCTGGTGCTGGTGGGGAGTGAAGTGGGAGCATGGAGGGGAGAGGTGTTGTAGCAAAGATGTTCTATTATGTTGACAAGATAGTTGTGACCGCTCTAACAATGGAAATGAAATACATGTCCTCGACGGTGGAGGCAAGATCAGGTGGGACCATTCTAGCCAATGAGAGGGCAGATACGCATGTGAACAACAGGCACAACTCCGATATAAAGTCGGTGCGTCCACTTATCAGTGCATTCGTAACAATCTAACCATTACAGAACTTCTGTTCGATCAAATAAGCCTCACGTAGCAAATTAGCAATTACATTTTATTGTTGACCAAATTTGACACTCATGGACCTCTACAAATAATTCCTCACTTCGTGGTCTTATTTTCGCGGACAGATTTTTTCCGGCGTAAAACCTCTCGCTTCTCCTCTTCCTGTCGTGTTGTAATGAGAGTGGAAAGTCCAAAGCGCACACTCTGGCACGGCCACTTCCTCCTCCTTATCAGTGGAGACCATGTAGCCCCCCCCCCCCAGTGCAGTGCTGGCTGCCCAGTACCAGAGGCTGTGGAGAGCCTGCTATGGTCTGAGGGCTGCCTGAGTGGCTGAGAGTAGTACTCAATGGGAGGAGACACTAGAGCTTTGTGCTTGTTTGTGTGTAAGCTGATACATTTTAAACTTCCATAACTGTACCTGGAGAATTTGGTGATCAGTAGACAGCCCTGTGAAATGTTTGTCTAACTACACAGGGGTTGTCTAACTACACATGGGTTAGTCCTCCTGGCCCCACTAGTCTCCTCTCCACCACATGACTCATTGTTCCGGTCATCAGCTTTCCAGAGTGTTGTTGAAGTCTGTTTTGGCAGGGCAGTTGTTTACTTTAGGTGGTGGAATCCACTTTTTTCCATTTATAAGTCAGCCTTGCTGCCTTGATGTTTGACTTGGTGTTTGTAAAGATGGCAACGGTCGTCAGGCTGTATAATGTGAAGTATCTCATTCTGGGCTCTTTGTCTTGGTATTTCCTTTCCACTTCAAAAGAAAGGGACTGGGACTAGGACACCCTTAAATGAAGAGATGTTTTTGTGGAATCAAACTGAACCAGACTCTTGAGGTATTTGTTTAACTGGATTATGGTAGTGCTTTGTTATGTGGGGAGTATTTGGTGTCCACATAAATCCTATGTTTCTGTGGTTCAAACTCAACCAACAATAACAAACGTCCTGCTGATGCAAGTAATCAATATTTAAACAAAGGCTCATCAGATTAAAGAAAAACAGCTGTGACTGCTGAGGACCGCACAGACACATCCAGGCCCTAAACCATCCCCAGCACAGGGCAGTCAGCATGGGCTGAATAAAAACCACTATGATTGATTTCCTTGCTTACATAAAGACTGCCTTCAAAGAAGTTCACTGTTCCTTTATGGACCTGTTCTGTCCGATTGATCTGCGGAGGTTAATCAAGACATCAGCAGAGGTGCTCTACGACGCCGAGTTGAAGAGGTTGTTCTCTCACAAAGATTAATGTATTTTTATATATATATATATATAATTATATTTTGACTGTAAACTCCTTACAGCGGGATATGGAGAATTATGGGGTTACTTGCAGGGCACACAGAGTTTGGAGTTCAATTAGAAATATTGAAAACATCCCTGGTTTGCTCTAAGCAAGGGTATAGATGAGGAGGCTGGTGCTACTAGGAATGTAGCCCTGAATAGCAACATTTAGATTTCAATCTACTGTCAACACTGGACTTGCACCAGTATAGGCCTACTTGGTAATCATCTGATAATGCTGATAATAACTTTTGCAAAGAAATGTGAGGGTCAGTTTCACTGATGGCTGCTTGCCTTAATGGAAAGAGTTCACCAGTGCCCGGTATGAACATTCCAATCAGCCAGGGCTCCTTAAGACTGTCCTGCTCTGTCCCTTATGGATCAAACCCTAGTGATGACATCCTTTTAAGATGAGAATCTCTTATTTTAATTGGGTGTTTTGTCATGGTAGTATTGGGTCTGGTATAGTACTGTCCTAGTCCGGATTCCTAAACCCTGAGCGGTTCCACGGCGTCAGGCCAGCCAGTGCTGTATGCTGTGCTGCCTCGAGTCGGACTGACATCCCGTAAACGTCTGCTGAGTGCACACAGTGTTTAGACAGAGGAGGAGATTGATCCCCTGCACTCAAAGCCAAACGGCCAGGGCCAAGCACGACAGCAACGCATAACACACAGACAGTGTGCTACACTCACCATCACCACCATCATCATATCCCCTCCAGTCTCTTTATCTGGGCCCGAGGCTTCCAACTGGGCCTTTTTAGTCTTTGTTTGCTCAAGTCACGAGAGATCCACGGGTATGGGAACATGTGATGGTGGTCTTTTTGGATTTACAGTGTGTTTTTGTTTATTCTCACAATTCAAATACGTGTTGGGCCTTTGGGTTGTTTTTGAATGTTAGTCCGACATTCCTATCCCCTCCCTCCCACAATAGCAGTGTGAATTCAGAGCTCAGCTCAGTGGGGTGATGTGATGGGTAAACCCTCCAGGCCTCTCTCACTCACCACGCCACACTCCTAGGCTGCTGCCACATCTCCGTTGATAGCCACTGACAGAACAGGAACACCGCAGACAAATACAAGTTAAGGAGCACAGAGCACAATCACATTTGTCTTGTATTAACAATCAAGTGATGTTTGTTGTGCCTGGGTTCTTTTTTTATGTTGTATGTTTAGCTACCTTAAAATCAGTCTGATAGCATTCTAGACTTACATATTTATTTTAACTTGTATTCTTTGAGTTGATCGTTCTGTTGTTAAATGTTCTGTTGGTGATTTATTGCTTCCTTTTTTGTTGATTATTCTAACAAAAGACAGGCTGTGTAATGTTTGTTTTGATAAGAACCAACCCTATCGGTATCGGTGGATTGTGATTGGCTACATTACATATAGTGGCAATCACATGCTGAACAACGGGACCAGCAAAACGGGAAGCGGCCCATGGCTTTGACACCTTGGTGATCCCCTACTTCCGCCAATCACTCCTCCCCTCCTGAGTCAGCTGCTCATGAGTGCCTGGACTTTCACTCCCTGACTGGTCAGAAGCGCAATTCATATTGTGTAGTGTATGCAAAGATGGTGGATAAATGAAGATGTTTACATTTACCATAGAATTAAAAAATGGTTCATTGACTTACCCAGAAAAAAGTGAGATTTCTCTCTACCTCTTACGTCTTTGGTGTATGCTCCCCACTTCCACAATGTGATCATTGAGCTGTGTGTCTGTGCAGCCTATCTGCGACCACAGCTCAGCAGCAGTCAGTGGTGTAGACACTAGCCAGTGTAATAAAGGCCTGTGGGTTTCTCCTAACCTCAGCACAACTCACTGGAAGCCCTGACATCACATTACCCACACAACACAAACACTGTAGTGTTTCTATTGTGTTTTTGTCATCAGCAGCAATATGCCAGCGCTTGGTTTGGCCCGGACACTGATTTCCTGTGGCGATATCTCAGACGAGCTGCCTTAACTCCGATAGCCAGGAAATCACTGCACAGCCCCATAACTTTAATATAGCAGGGCTCCAGACTGTGACCATTTAGTCGAATTTTGCGACCCTTTGACTTGGTTGTGTGAGTTTGATTTTTAATTAGTCGCATCATTATGAGTTGCAAATTCTAGCTGGTCGCCTCACTCAAAACGTAAAAAAAATTTGGTGGCTAAAACAATGATTTGGTCAAACAGTACACCTAAAATAAAGAGCATTGATTTCTGCCATGAAAGTGCCTTCCCTGCCCCTGCAGTGCCCGTTTCGCTGGGGCCGGCCGGCTTCTGTGGCTCACTGGCACTCCCTCTCACTCCAGCTGTGTACTCTATTAAGAGGGTGAGAGAAATGCGTTATTTCAAAATAACATTTGCAGGTAAAACACCAAAACACAGTTTTGAAAACTGGTATGCTGTTTTCTAGCTGAAGATAGGAGGGTTTCCACTTTCTTGGGGTATGAATGTTATGAACTCAATTATGGGCGATTGCCACCTTAAAAAAAAAAAAATATATATATATATGTATGTATGTATGTGTATGTGTGTGTGTGTGTGTGTGTGTGTGTGTGTGTGTGTGTGTGTGTGTGTGTGTGTGTGTGTGTGTGTGTGTGTGTGTGTGTGTGTGTGTGTGTGTGTGTGTGTGTGTGTGTGTGTGTGTGTGTGTGTGTGTGTGTGTGTGTGTGTGTGTGTGTATGTTTGTTTTATATCTTTGAGATGGGAGCACGCGAGGCGCACATTGGCCATTTGCAAAATCAGAGAATTCTGGAGCCCTATTTTGACAGAAATATAGCAACAATAGCCTAATTGTCAACCCAAAATTCATGGCAATCACTGGTTTATGTTGCACATCAAAATCATGCATTCCTACTTGGACATGTTTGATAAAACAAATATATATTTAATCATACCATAATCACTCCGTAGTCTTTTTCTTTCAATAAAGATTACTTTTATAAGATGATTACTAATTTGTTCTATTGCGTTACGCCACAACATTTTTGGTGCGGCCAAATCATGGGCTGGTGCCACCAATTGAAAAAGTTAGTGGCACCAGTGCCACCAGGGGAAAACGTTAGTCTGGAGCCCTGTATCGGCTTACAAATGAGGGCAGATTTACTGTGTTCTAGCTGCAGGATGTTTGTCAGTTATTTCCTGGGGTGGCAGAACCTCTTACATCAAGTCTTATCAGAGGAGATTGACAGCCACCGATGCAGGCCACAATGTAAACAATGACAATTAAGTTCTGATTCGATTCTCCAAAGTGCTACAGTCTGTGTGACAAACACTCCCATCCTGAGTATTTGTACTGTACACGGTTTTGGAAGAGCTGTGGACTTGTCTGGTGTATAATGTCTGTCTGTTTATTAGTCTGTTGTTTTCTGTCTGGTCCTGATCTGGGTGTTGGCTGGTGCTGTGGTGTCTCTCTGTTAAGGGATGTTTCCTTGTGTGTTCTCTGGGCAGAACAGGCCAGGCAGGGTTGGCAGCTTCCTGGTTTATTTATTTGAACAGGAGACTGTGCTCCTCGCTACCTCCTCTGCTCCTCCCTCAGGTGGGGGCTGTGTGTTTTGGTGTTCTCTAATCCAGCTGTATGAAGGGAGTGACGTTGGCGAACTGACACGCACACAGGTGGTGTGTTGTGTTTATGTATGTTTGTCTAAAATTGGATGGCCTTCTGTCTCTGTCATCAGATGACAAGTAGCTCTCTTGTCAGTGTTTTGGCTGTATGAATAGGGTATGTTTGGCGTCACAGGTAACCTAGCCATCTTTGAGAGAATACATCAGTCGGTGTGTTTGAGTTTCTGTGTGCGTGAGAGACTTCCGAATGACATGCTTAGGGATTTTTTTCCTTCAACAGATTCACTGATATTAAGATGGGGTTTTCCTTCCTAGTTCCTACTCTCTTACTCCTCTCCTTTCCTTCCTCTGTCCCCCCTCCCTCTCTTTATCTCCCTTTCTCACTAGATGCGAGAATCTGCTCTCCCCCGTTCATGGTTCTGAACACAGAGTGTGGTCCAGACACACTGGAGCAGATTGAGAAGCATGGACTCACATTCCCATTTAGTAAGTCCCTCCCTTTCCTGTTTGATAGAGAAAGAGGAATTGTCACTTGATCCAGATGATTACACAGGGTCCTTCCTCCTCCTAGCTTTGTTTAGGGGTTGACATTAGGAAACAATTTACGGTGAGGGGAAACTGCCCAACACTCTAAACAAACCTGGTTTTAGTATCCACACATATTAGCTACACAGCATTTAGTTTATTATTTAGGAGTGTGGTGTGGTTTAATCCTGATATGATTACTCTTCAGTGTTGAACTATAACTATCTTGGTTTAACTTCTGAGAAGTTCATTTTTAGCATAATTATTTTCAAACCCTCTGCTACTTTTAAGCTACCTTGTATGTCCAATTTACCTAGCTTTCTTGTCTGCAGACAGCCATTAATGGAGGGGGGTTTTGAAAGTTGTGGTCAGTGTGAAAAATAACCTGCTGTCATCTTGTGACAGTCATGTTTTTTCTCAACACGGATGCCGTTGGGGAAGTGTGGTTTCCTCACAAACATTTTCAACCTGTTCTTCTTTCTCTCCCTCCATCTCTCAGTTTGCAAAACAAGAGTAGCCCATGGAACCAACTCCCACGAGGTAAGAGTGCCACCAGGGTCGTGGTGGGAAAGGGAAAGCGGGACATTTAGTCAGTTGCACAACTCAATGCATTCAACCGAAATGTGTCTTTCACATTTAACCCAACCCCTCTGAATCAGAGAGGTGTGCGGGGCTGCCTTAATCGACGTCCACGTCATCAGCGCTTGGGGAGCAGTTGTTGTAGTGGTTAACTGCCTTGCTCATTCCACCTTGCCTGCTCAGGGTTTCGAACTAGGCCTTTCGGTTACTGGCCCAACGCTCTTAACCGCTAGGCTACCTGAGCTTAGGGTCACAGATTAATCACACCCTCGATCGTTAGCTAAATCCCTGTAATCCATTACAGTGTCTAACTAGATAATCATTTAACACTGCACCTAACTACATCAAACAGCCTACAGTACTCTGACTATCAGCCCAATCAATAGCCGCTTCTCCGTCAGCCCATATGGTCAACATTCATATACAGTGCATTCGGAAAGTATTCAGACCCCTTGACTTTTTCCACATTTTGTTACATTACAGCCTTAATCTAAAATATATATTTTTTTAATGTATTCCCTCATCAATCTACACACCACCCCATAATGACAAAGCAAAAACTGATTTTTAAAAAAAATAAAAGAATGAAATTACATTTACATTAGTATTCAGACCCTTTACTCAGTACTTTGTTGAAGCTCCTTTGGCAGCGATTACAGCCTCGAGTCTTCTTGGGTATAACACTACAAGCTTGGCACACCTGTATTTGGGGAGTTTCTCCCATTCTTCTCTGCAGATCCTCTCTAGCTCTGTCAGGTTGGATGGGGAGCGTTGCTGCACAGCTATTTTCAGGTCTCTCCAGAGATGTTCGATCGGGTTCAAGTCCGGGCTCTGTCTGGGCCACTCAAGGACATTCAGAGACTTGTCCCGAAGCCACTCCTGCATTGTGTTGGCTGTGTGCTTAGGGTCGTTGTCCTGTTGGAAGGTGAACCTTCGCCGCAGTCTGAGGTCTGGAGCAGGTTTTCATCAAGGATCTCTCTGTACTTTGCTCCGTTCATCTTTCCCTCGATCCTGACTAGTCCCTCAGTCCCTGCCGCTGAAAAACATCCCCACATCATGATGCTGCCACCACCATGCTTCACCGTAGGGATGGTGCCAGGTTTCCTCCAGACGTGATGTTTGGCATTCAGGCCAAAGAGTTCAATCTTGGTTTCATCAGACCAGAGAGTCTTGTTTCTCATGGTTTGAGGTGCCTTTTGGCAAACTCCAAGCAGGCTGTCATGTATTTTACTGTGCCTTGACACAATCCTGTCTCGGGGCTCTACGGACAATTCCTTCGACCTCCATGGCTTGGTTTTTGCTCTGACATGCACTGTCAACTGTGGGACCCTATATAGACAGGTGTGTGCCTTTTCCAAATCATGTCCAATCAATTGAATTGACCAAAGGTGGACTCCAATCAAGTTGTAGAAACATCTCAATGATGATCAATGGAAACATGATGCACCTGAGCTCAATTTCGAGTCTCATTGCAAAGGGTCTGAATACTTATGTAAATAAGGTATTTCTGTTTTATTTTTAATACATTGCTAAATTTTCTAAACCTGTTTTCACTTTGTCATTATGGGGTGTTGTGTGTAGATTGATGAGGGGAAAAATAATTGAATCCATTTTAGAATAAGGCTATAACGTAACAAAATGTGGGAAAAGTGAAGGGGTCTGAATACTTTCCGAATGCACTGTATGTGTATGTCATTGAACCAGTCAAGTCTGTGGAAACGGGTTGGATGATGTTATGGTTTATGGATGAAATTAGATTAAATGATAAATGTATTGATGACCTTTTCTCCCCCTCCACAGATGGCCATCATCTTCAGTGAGGAGGACCTGAAGGATGTTAAGCCTCCGTGTGTGATCCAGAGCTTCATCAACCACAACGCGGTGCTCTACAAGGTGTTTGTGGTGGGGGAGTCCTACACACTGGTGGAGAGACCCTCCCTCAAGAACTTCCCCGCTGGACCAGCAGGTGAGGAGGACCCAGGAGACCCTGTCTGTTTATGGGCACACAGTGTGCCATGCTGAGGAAGGCCTATAGCACTTTTGTCCCCCTGACAGGCCCAATAAAATACCTCCATAAAGGCTTTTTAACATCTTTGAAACTGTCCTCCCTCTCTCTTTTAAAAAAGGGAGCGGAGTGCAGTTGATTTGGTTGTTTATAAATGTTGGTCAACTTATTTTTTTATTTTTTTCCATTTTCTAGAGGAAAAGCATGGTGTACAGTCAGATTGATAGCTTATTCCTGTCTTGTGTATGGCAACCAGTCGTTTTCGATAACAAACATCATGAGGCAATCAGCACATTGAATAGGCTGAAGTAATCTGAATGTGGCCCTTTGCCCTGACAGGATAAGCTGCACCATTTGCATCCACTACAGTAAAAGCCCTCATGCAAACCAGTCTGGGCTTCAGCGGAATCGTCTGCTTTTACCTTATGAAAGAGACTAGGGTCATCCCTGTGTGCTCCAGCACAATGAATCATGCAGTAAAGTGCCCCAACTTCACACATGCAACACACCTATACTACTGTATACACAGAGTGCCGTCCAGGGCATTGTCCGGAGTTAAAACATAAACCCACACTATGTATAGAGCAGACTAAATGGATTATAAACAGACAAAGGGTGGTAGAGAAGGGAGGACTGGGTTAGGTAAGGAGGGAGGGGTTGGGTGTTTAAGGACCTCAGTGTTGTGTAAGAGATCCTGGTGTCAGGAGAAGATAAGGTCCCATCCCACCGCCCACGCTCCCAGCAGAGGTGATACAGTGAAGGGGGAAAAGTATTTGATCCCCTGCTGATTTTGTACGTTTGCCCACTGACAGAGAAATGATCAGTCTATAATTTTAATGGTAGGTTTATTTGAACAGTGAGAGACAGAAAAACAACAACAAAATCCAGAAAAAAGCATGTCAAAAATGTTATAAATTGATTTGCATTTTAATGAGGGAAATAAGTATTTGACCCCCTCTCAATCACAAAGATTTCTGGCTCCCAGGTGTCTTTTATACAGGTAACGAGCTGAGATTAGGACCACACTCTTAAAGGGAGTGCTCCTAATCTCAGCTTGTTACCTCTATAAAAGACACCTGTCCACAGAAGTAATCAATCAATCAGATTCCAAACTCTCCACCATGGCCAAGACCAAAGAGCTCTCCAAGGATGTCAGGGACAAGATTGTAGACCTACACAAGGCTGGAATGGGCTACAAGACCATCGCCAAGCAGCTTGGTGAGAAGGTGACAACAGTTGGTTCGATTATTTGCAAATGGAAGAAACAAAAAGAACTGTCAATCTCCCTCGGCCTGGGGCTCCATGCAAGATCTCACCTCGTGGAGTTGCAATGATCATGAGAACGGTTAGGAATCAGCCCAGAACTACACGGGAGGATCTTGTCAATGATCTCAAGGCAGCTGGGACCATAGTCACCAAGAAAACAATTGGTAACACACTACGCCGTGAAGGACTGAAATCCTGCAGCGCCCACAAGGTCCCCCTGCTCAAGAAAGCACATATACAGGCCCGTCTGAAGTTTGCCAATGAACATCTGAATGATTCAGAGGAGAACTGGGTGAAAGTGTTGTGGTCAGATGAGACCAAAATTGAGCTCTTTGGCATCAACTCAACTCGCCGTGTTTGGAGGAGGAGGAATGCTGCCTATGACCCCAAGAACACCATCCCCACCGTCAAACATGGAGGTGGAAACATTATGCTTTGGGGGTGTTTTTCTGCTAAGGGGACAGAACAACTTCACCGCATCAAAGGGACGATGGACGGGGCCATGTACCGTCAACTCTTGGGTGAGAACCTCCTTCCCTCAGCCAGGGCATTGAAAATGGGTCGTGGATGGGTATTCCAGCATGACAATGACCCAAAACACACGGCCAAGGCAACAAAGGAGTGGCTCAAGAAGAAGCACATTAAGGTCCTGGAGTGGCCTAGCCAGTCTCCAGACCTTAATCCCATAGAAAATCTGTGGAGGGATCTGAAGGTTCGAGTTGCCAAACGTCAGCCTCGAAACCTTAATGACTTGGAGAAGATCTGCAAAGAGGAGTGGGACAAAATCCCTCCTGAGATGTGTGCAAAACTGGTGGCCAACTACAAGCAACGTCTGACCTCTGTGATTGCCAACAAGGGTTTTGCCACCAAGTACTAAGTCATGTTTTGCAGAGGGGTCAAATACTTATTTCCCTCATTAAAATGCAAATCAATTTATAACATTTTTTACATGCGTTTTTCTGGATTTTTTTGTTGTTATTCTGTCTCTCACTGTTCAAATAAACCTACCATTAAAATTATAGACTGATCATGTCTTTGTCAGTGGGCAAATGTACAAAATCAGCAGGGGATCAAATACTTTTTTCCCTCATTGTATAAGCAAATCTTGTCTGCTACATGAACTAGTGTAGCCCACAGACATTTGGCATAGCCACATAAGGACAACCATCAGTATGCTATTATTTTCTTCTGAAATAGACTACATTTTCTTCATATCATGCTTCTTTAGACCTGTCTAAAATAAATAATGAAACAGCCTCAATTTGACGTTGAAAGCATTCCACAGGGATGCTGGCCCATGTTGACTCCAATTCTTCCTACAGTTGTGTGAATTTGGCTAGACCATTCTTGATACACACAGGAAACTGTTGAGCGTGAAAACCCCAGCAGCGTTGCAGTTCTTGACGCACTCAAACCGATGTGCCTGGCACCTACTACCAAACCCTGTTCAAAGGCACTTAAATATTTTGCCTTGCCCATTAACCCTCTGAATGGCACACATGCACAATCCATGTCTCAATTGTCTCAAGGCTTAAAAATCCTTCTTTAACCTGTCTCCTCCCCTTCACTGATTCTGAAGTGGATTTAACAAGTGACCTCAATAAGGGATCATAGCTGTCACTGGGTCAGTCTGTCATGGAAAGAGCAAGTGCCCTTAATGTTTTGTACACTCCGTGTATGAAGGCCATTGATATGGTGTGATATATGACCATTACAAGTAGGAGTTGCGTGTGTAAGATATTTCTTTTTTTTGCCAGACGTTGAGTTTATTTTCGGGTTAAATTATCCAAATTCTTCATCATGAGGCTTTACTTTGGCTGTAGTTTGTTTTTATTATCATTAGAGATGGTTAAGATAATTGAGCAGCACATGTGAATACATATGCCACTGTCTATCAACCAATGTGAGGAATGCATACACTGCTCAAAAAAATAAAGGGAACACTTAAACAACACAATGTAACTCCAAGTCAATCACACTTCTGTGAAATCAAACTGTCCACTTAGGAAGCAACACTGATTGACAATACATTTCACATGCTGTTGTGCAAATGGAATAGACAACAGGTGGAAATGATAGGCAATTAGCAAGACACCCCCAATAAAGAAGTGGTTCTGCAGGTGGTGACCACAGACCACTTCTCAGTTCCTATGCTTCCTGGCTGATGTTTTGGTCACTTTTGAATGCTGGCGGTGCTTTCACTCTAGTGGTAGCATGAGACGGAGTCTACAACCCACACAAGTGGCTCAGGTAGTGCAGCTTATCCAGGATGGCACATCAATGCGAGCTGTGGCAAGAAAGTTTGCTGTGTCTGTCAGCGTAGTGTCCAGAGCATGGAGGCGCTACCAGGAGACAGGCCAGTACATCAGGAGACGTGGAGGAGGCCGTAGGAGGGCAACAACCCAGCAGCAGGACTGCTACCTCCGCCTTTGTGCAAGGAGGAGCAGGAGGAGCACTGCCAGAGCCCTGCAAAATGACCTCCAGCAGGCCACAAATGTGCATGTGTCTGCTCAAACGGTCAGAAACAGACTCCATGAGGGTGGTATGAGGGCCCGACGTCCACAGGTGGGGGTTGAGCTTACAGCCCAACACCGTGCAGGACGTTTGGCATTTGCCAGGGAACACCAAGATTGGCAAATTCGCCACTGGCGCCCTGTGCTCTTCACAGATGAAAGCAGGTTCACACTGAGCACGTGACAGACGTGAGAGTCTGGAGACGCCGTGGAGAACGTTCTGCTGCCTGCAACATCCTCAAGCATGACCGGTTTGGCGGTGGGTCAGTCATGGTGTGGGGTGGCATTTCTTTGGGGGGCCGCACAGCCCTCCATGTGCTCGCCAGAGGTAGCCTGACTGCCATTAGGTATCGAGATGAGATCCTCAGACCCCTTGTGAGACCATATGCTGGTGCGGTTGGCCCTGGGTTCCTCCTAATGCAAGACAATGCTAGACCTCATGTGGCTGGAGTGTGTCAGCAGTTCCTGCAAGAGGAAGGCATTGATGCTATGGACTGGCCCGCCCGTTCCCCAGACCTGAATCCAATTGAGCACATCTGGGACATCATCATCACAGACTGTCCAGGAGTTGGCGGATGCTTTAGTCCAGGTCTGGGAGGAGATCCCTCAGGAGACCATCCGCCACCTCATCAGGAGCATGCCCAGGCGTTGTAGGGAGGTCATACAGGCACGTGGAGGCCACACACACTACTGAGCCTCATTTTGACTTGTTTTAAGGACATCACATCAAAGTTGGATCAGCCTGTAGTGTGATTTTCCACTTTAATTTTGAGGGTGACTCCAAATCCAGACCTCCATGGGTTGATACATTTGATTTCCATTGATAATTTTTGTGTGATTTTGTTGTCAGCACATTCAACTATGTAAAGAAAAAAGTATTTAATAAGATTATTTCATTCATTCAGATCTAGGATGTGTTATTTTAGTGTTCCCTTTATTTTTTTGAGCAGTGTATTATTCTTGGGATTTCTGGTAAAGTAATCTTAAGGACACATGCACGCAAGGCCAACGGCAGTAAATATACGCAAGCCTAGAATTTATTTTATGTTAACATCACTGTCAATTTTTTATTGAGCGGTATCTTCCAATAAATGCACTTGAACTTGAATGTGATAATGGTACACCTCATTCATTGTTTATGGCTGCTCTTGTGCCTCTGTTTCCATCAACCAGTGGACTTTGCTGGACATTTGTCACTCAAATTAGTTTTTGCTACCTCCTAGTGCCAGAGATGAGAACTGTACATTCATAACAAATAGTTCAGTAGATGAGAAATGTAATGCGTCTTCATCTGACTAAAGTACATGGTTCCTCCATTACAGACAGAAAAGCAATTTTCTTCAACAGTCACAACGTATCAAAGCCAGAGTCCTCTTCAGACCTGACATCTGTAAGTTCAATACACTAACATGCTTTTTAAAAATCATATCACCTATTTCTGTTCATAACCAGTGGGTTATTAAATGCCCCTAGTACAGTATACTCAGACTTAGTTTTCTTCCTGCCACAGAGGGACAACGTGGTGGGGGTGTCCCAGCCACCCAGTGATGATGTCATCAGAGAGCTGTCCAGGTCCTTGCGACAGGCGCTGGGCGTTTCCTTGTTTGGCATCGACGTCATCATCAACAACCTCACGGGCCAACACGCAGTCATCGACATCAATGCATTCCCTGGTGAGTGGTTTGTTCCTCTGCCGTACGGAATAGGAGTAGATGTGCGTTTCTGTTGAAGTCTATGGTGGATGGGCATTTATACTACCTGTGTAGCCATACAACTCAGTTTTACCATCTCTACCAGTAAGTCATTTCAAATCTTTGAGAGATTTGCTTTTAGGCATTGATATAATCTAGTGGGCAGATAGTCTGCGTGACATGGTCTTGCTTGGAGACCGAGACTAGGCGTCTCGGAGAGAGTAAGCTCAACAAAATCTGTCATCAGCACAGTCTTAAATGAGCATTGAGCATGCTCAGAGGCGAGTCTAGCATGCCTCTCTTGACAAGTGCTGTCGCTATGGTAACACTGTTCTCGGGTTTCACTCTGTTGCCACCTTTGACGGTTGGAGTGTGAGGAGAATGGTAGTGAGCTAATCCCTACTCTCACAAACATTCACCCTTTGTGCCTCAAGGACAGAAGCTAGGCAGTCAAAATACAAGCAAGAAGTCCTCACTCGTTTACCTCTACTGTACTGTTACCATCAGTTGCCTTCTGTATTGGAGATGGGATATAAGCATCTGTCAGCCATGTCTCAAGGCTCACCCTCTTCTGTCTCCAGGTTACGAGGGTGTCCCGGAGTTCTTCAACGACCTCCTGACCCACATCACCAGTGTGCTCCAGGCTCACGCCCCCGACAGCCCCCCAGGCAGCGGGCAGCCCAAAGGCCTGGCATCCAGCCATACCCCCAGCACTACGGTGCCCACAGCCCCGATCCCGGACTCCCCAGGCTGCTGCAGCATGCTGGGGAAGGAGGCCAGCAGCAGCCCCTGGATTGTGGAGGGGGATGGGAACCTGAAGGGCCCCCGCCAGAGACTGGGCTGTAACTCAGCCATGTCCCCCAACTTCCAGCAACACTGTGTGTCCACGATAGCCACCAAGGCTTCCTCCCAATGACTGCCCTCCTCTTCCCCCTTAGCCCCCACCCTGTTCTAACCGCGAACAAAAACAGATGATGGTGACGATAATTAATAAGTCATAATAATTATGATATTCATTATAATATCTGTAATCTAAAACCAACTTTTTTCTATATAGATCTTGATGATGGTGATTGGGTCTTTTTTTATTTTCTGCCTTTTGGATTTTTTGGTTTGCTTTAATAAGACTTACAGTACTGTAATGTGAACTTTTGGGAACTCTGCTTAATTGCTGATTTTAGTTTCTCTCTCTAATCAAGTGGTCCACATGAGGTGGTTGGGGGAATAGCCATGTCTGACCTTTGACTGCAGCAGTGAATAAAAGGGTAATGTAACATATGCTCAAGACACACACACAGGCACATTCACAAGTTTCCTGCATTTAAACTCACCAGTGATGTGTGTTTGAATGCCACTCTCATATGTAGAGTTAGTGTAGAAGGAATGTATGGCTAGAGGATTGTCTGGGTATTCTAACACTCCTCCACTGGTTTGGAGCAGCTGCCTGTGCTAATCACACTCGGGTAAACTGACTTAAAGCAGAAGAGCCCACTATCATTTCCAAAGTTTGGGATCTTGGTCGACATTAGATTAGGGCTGGGCTATATCTATCGACTTTTAAGGTATACCGGTATGGATTTTTACAATACCGTCTATAACACGTGTCAAACTCATTCTATGGAGGGCTGGTGTCTGCAGGTTTTTGCTCCACCCTTGTACTTGATTGTTGAATTAAAGTCAGTGATTAGTAAGGAACTCCCCTCACCTGGTTGTCAAGGTCTTAATTGAAAGGAAAAAACAAAAACCTGCAGACACTACCCTCTGTGGAATGAGTTTGACACCCCTGGTCTATAATGATATGTTGATACAGTGCTAAATAAATGAAGAGTTGGACTACTTCACTGTCAGTGTTGTCCTAGTTTAGTTGAGTATAAAACAATCAGCATGGAGAAAAATTCATTTGTTGCCATCCTAGGGTCATGCACTACTCATAACATATTTAGAACTTTTATTATTCAGAAACTAAAATGCAGCCAAATACCGCCATACCATCAAAATTGAGAAAAATATTGTGATAATATGTATTGGCCAAATCGCCCAGCCCTACATTAGAGACGATTAAATTGAACGCTGTTTACTTTCCTGTGTGCCATCTTATTGACAATGTGCTCTGTGTACAGTAGTGCAAGGCTCTTGTCATGTGGATTTCATAGTCTTCACAACTGCAGAAACAAAATAGATTTGATTTATATCAAGATATATGTAGCAGGAAAGGCTGAAAATGCCTGAATAATCCTTTGATCACACCTGATTATAAACATTTGTCAGCAGTAAAAGAAAAAAAATGAACCTCTGTTCATGTGACCAAGTTAAATATGGACTGTTTATAAAGGCCTTTTGAGTGTTTATGTCAGATGTGGTTGAGGTTTATACAGGTGTTTTATGCAAGTACTAACAAGTCCATGTCCCTGCCTCTCTTAACTTGATTTGCGTTCCTCCAGCTGAAAGATGATCACATTCCGTTTGTGTATGTGTGTGTTTTCGAGAAGAATTCCAATGCTTTAGTGAAAATAACCTGACTGTCAGACAGTATTGTTTTATAGACTTTAAATGATTGGGCATAGGAAACTCTCTCCCTCCATTACGACTCATTCAAAACTAAATGGAACCTCTGGGCCTCTTTAAAAACGGTGTTCAATTGGTATTGTGTTCAGAAAACTGTTACTCCACTCATTTCAAATGTAATGATTATATATATATATATCCATCCCACTAAATCGGCAAATTATTTTTGTGAACATTAAATTAATTGTTATGTCTTGATTACAATGCTAAGGATTCTTTATTTCGTTTTTACTTTCAGTCTTATTGACATTACATAATTGCAAGCAGACTGCTGGCACCTATTAAACCGTGAAACAGCCTGTAGTCCACCTGGTGCGCTCTTGCATAGCTGGTATCGACAGACGCCAAACTCCCTGTAAGCATCCTATTGTCCAGCTGCTGTGTCCTTTTAGAGGTGGCGCAAAATGAGGTTAAAATAATAGAGGGATAAAAAATATTTTTTTCACTTCTATTTGACTAAAATGTAAATGATAACATCTTTGTCCTGATTTCCTAAGAGCAATTTATTTTGAGATTTTATGGGGGGGGGGAATTATTTTTTTATAAGATGGAGAAGCGCGGGTGAGTCGAACAAACAATGGATTTTTGTCAGACGAGTAGTGAAATGGTTGGTTGGCAAATGAAACTATCTTCAGAACTTCAAGGAGCCAGAGCAGCTTAGATGCCACTGTCTTCGCCCTTAGTACGCATCCAGTTGAAGTGCAGGGCTGACAACTCAATGTAAAAAGAATAGGGCATTTACTTGAGCACAGGCTCTTAGTCCTGGAGGAGCAAGCATCAGATTCCGCATATACGTAGAGTAAGTAGGCTTGCAAACTGAATCGACACAGAGGTTACTTAGCCCCAATGGCCTAGTGACAATGACTGACAATCTAAACGGTGTAGGCATTCCACCTGCAGCCCTCCAGGACTAGCGTTTCCTAGCGAAAAACACAGATCCTCAATCCTGTGTGGGTGAACCGTGACCAAGGAGAGGATGTCTTAACCAAGCCATGCCCAGTATGTTGTGAAAACACTGACATCTCTGTACACAACTATACAGTGTCTTGCATTGTGTTCTTCATTGTGCTTCTAAATGGGAAATAAATATTACCTTTATCATTTCTCCACCCTGACAATGTCATTGTGCTTTCAGCTTCCACCTGAATGTTCACTTGGAAATGTTATTGTATATGTTTGGTATCAGTTCTTTAAAGAAACTAATTCTAATCCACAATTTGATCTTTGTTATTAAATGCTAAACCAACTGGGCAAAAAAATAAACCCCCTTTAAAAAAATAGATATATATTTAAAATGGTAAAATGTGGTAAATGTCACCAATATCCTTCATGAGAAATTGCCATTACTGTTCTAGTGCTTTAGCCCAGATAATGAGAAAATGTAAATTCATGAACATTTGTGAAGTTCTTAAATTAATTCCCCCAATGTTGTGTATTGGGTTTCTCACACTTGATAGACCTCATGTTCATGTACTGCATATCGATACCATTTACATTTTAGTCATTTAGCAGACGCTCTTATTCAGAGCGACTTACAGTTAGTGTGTTAGTTTTATTTTTTATACCATACACCAGTAAGGAATGCAAACAAAACATTTACTTTTACCCATTCATGCTGTTGCAAAAGTGAGAAAGAACAAAAGCCCCCTGAACACCAAAGTGTGACTGAACTCTACCCAGCCTGCAGATGTTTATTGCTTCAGCTTTTATGCATCTGACATTTCATGGAGATTATGGTTTGACAACTGACAGTGTAGAAAATTACAAAAGACTCAAGTTTACATGCACACCATTTCAACACAAGATGGTACTGTACAACATGGGCACTATAAAATATATATATTTTCATAATTTGTCATCTGTACATAAAAAACAATATTTACAAGCACACTTGAGGTATGTATGTATGTCACTGTATAAAGCCTATAAAAGTGTCTCCTCCCTGCAACAGCATTGTACTGGGACGTTGCAATGCTGCGGAGGTTGTTTGATTAGCGGCATGCTGCTGGACTGGCCAACAGGCCCAGGATGGTGGAGAGACAGTGCAGCTTCTCCTTCACAAGCTCTGGCAACTTCTCATTCTCTTTGTACCTGGAGCAACACAAGCAGGAACATGTCAGCAAAAAGGTGTTGACAACTACCATTCCTCAAATACAGAAAATTATCAAAATGACAAAAGATGGACATTGACATAGGACTGTATGAAAGGGTGGTGAAGCCATGGGTCAGTTTATTGTATTTGTTATAGGTGCTGTGTAAGTGTTCAGTACCTGGTGGTCTGTCCCTCTGGGGACGTGTAGGTAATACAAGAGACCCCTGCCTGCACCACCAGCTGGGAGCCATCGTTGAACTGCACCCACACCTCTCCACTGGTCAGCTGTGATGCCCAACCAATGTTTGGCACAAAGACCGACTTGAGCACTTTCCCTGTGTTGGTTGTGTGGTCCTGTTTGACCGACAGCGGAGAGCAGTTTTTGTTCACGCTAGTCGAGGTGAAGTCAGACCCATCATAGGAGATCATCTGAAGATTAGAGAAGAAAAAATAAATATTCAACAAAACACCAGAAATATCTTACACTTCCTAAATAAAAATGGATGGAATAAACAGCTTATTTGATAGAATGTGAAATGTTGCGTCTGGAGAAACTCACAGAAGGAGTAATGTGTGGGGGCTTGGGCGGTGATGCCACATCCGTAGGGGCAGGCTGGAACGACGGGCAGGGGGAGGCTGGGTTGGCAGGTCTCCTGGGAGGGACAAATAGAGGAGCAAGATTAGTGACACAAGGACTGGGACTGACATGAGACTGAATATCGCAACATGGTGCTTTCTTTAAATGAACATTTAAAAAAATGTCAACTTCATATTTATAATCTCCAGCACCACCCCAACATCAACATGTGAAAATGGCGCATTTCTATGTTTTGTGGAAAAAAAGATAAGAGGGAGATAAGTGTTTACAATGACATCCTCAGTGTGCGTCATGTGATTTTAACCAATTATGAGAAGGCATGCCAACTAATTTTCTACTTTTGTAAACTACAAAACATAGACACGCACCATTTTTGCATATGTTGATATTGGGGTGGTGCTATAAATTCTGAATATGAAGTAGACATTTTTTGAAATGTCCCTTTAAGTGCTTCCAAACGTGACAATTTTCAGCATTAACACAGACAACAGACATAGTCTCGCTCACCTGCCGATGGTGATGGGGAAGAAGTGAGTGCTCATGGCACAGTGCTGCTCCTCTGCAGTGATTGCCGCCTCTAGAGACAGACAGATGCTGTGGCCCTCGTCAGACAGCTCCACGTACAGCCTGCTCTCTGGGCTGAGGCCACTCAGACCCACCTCTCCCTTCACCGTATACGACTTCCCACTCTTCTCCACCACACGGACCAGCTCCGACGTCTTGTGGGTCTTTGCTCCTGTCACAGCACAGAGGGGAACCACAGGTCAGGATGATTTAGTTTAACTGTGCAACAATAACATTTCAATCTCAGAAGGAAAATACACTTTATCCTTCAAGGTCATTATGTTTCATAGAATTGATGCTTTCTAAATTATCCTCACCATCGTAGAAGCACACCTCCAGGTCTGCATTGGGGGAGTTCTCCATCAGCATACACTTTGCATACTTGGTATAGAGGGTGACTTTGGGAGTCTTGGATTTCACCAGCTGCACAAACTTGGAGGCATACTGGTATTTCTTCCAGTACTTCTCTATTGAAGACAGAGGAGACAAAGGTTAGTTGAAATCAGATTTCCAACATATTTATCAAACTGTGGTTTTTAAATCATGTCACTGCGAGACGTCACTGTCTGGTATTGAGGTGTACCCGGTAGGTCCTCATAGCTGCAGATCAGGATATCCTCAGGAGGAGCAGGGGGACAGTCTAGCACAGGAAACCCCTTCCCCTCATTGGGCTGGTAAATAGTGACCTACAGGAGCATGGTCAAAGGGTGACATTAGTGTTTTGCCATTATTTCACAGACAGATACCATGATACATCCTCTCTGAAGGTTATGAAGTGTTGTGTTATTCCTGAAACTCACCATCAAACCATCACAGGATATCCTGAGGACCTCTTTGCCCCTCTCCTGTGGGCCCTGGCCCTTGAGCAGCTCCATACACACCTCTCCTGTATCCAGAATGCTCACCTGGGGAGAAGGAGACAGAAACCGCAGCTGTAGAGCAGGCAGGCATAGCACTGTCATTGAAAGCAGATCAGATGAATATATACAGGGGGATAACTAGGGTGTATGTCTGTCTTACCACAGCATTTTTTGTCTTCTGTCTGATGGATTTCAGTCTGGAGGCACACAAGGGAGGGAGCACATTTCTCAGGGACTTCTTCTCCTTTTCTACACTTGGTTTGGACAGACTATGCAGCTCTTCCCCATGACCTGGTTGCCCATTCTCCCTGTAGGACTCAGTGTTTGAGGTGTGGAGGTGGTGCTGGTTGTGGTGGAGGTGAGGACTGGTGCCTCTGCCTGCTGGTTTGTCACTCCAGGAGTTGTGTACACCTAGAGGCTCCCTGCCACTATGGAAACTGGCACTGCTGTTGTGAGAGGTGACATCCGTGTGCCTCGGAAACGGGCCTGGTGAGGCAGGGTAAACAAACACGGTCAAGCTCATGTGTGAAAATCTTTATTTTAGAGCTTTTAAATCTTTACATTGGGATGTAAGATTAAGATACAGCAAAGAAAATAGTAGGTGTACTATACCTTCTTTAGTGAACCAATTCTGTACACCTTCTGACTCTTGTAACTGCACGTTTAGTGGATGTGGTGGCTGTATGGAATATGAACATCCTGAGCTGAGGAAATAAAGGGTACATACACGTATCAGTTAGTCAGACAGACACAGCCATCTTAATAAAAATCACATTCTATTAATTACATCACACTGGGACCACATCTTACCTAGCTGTCTGTTTGACAGGCAGTGATGGGAGCCTTCCATGCTCTGTGAAGGGTTGTGGAGTGTCCTTGTAGCTGGAGGACATGGGAAAGGCCAGTCTCCCCGACCCAGTCAGCATCTCCTCAGAGTGGCATCTCTCCAGCTCTGCCTGCCCCATCCCTTGGGCTGGAATGACAGAGGAGCTAGACCGGTCTGAGGAGTGAGTCCTCCGTAGGTACCTGGAGTGGGGCCGTCCACTCTCCCCGCCCGGAACTACCCTGCTCCTGCCTACTCTATCGGAGTGCTGCTGCCACTCCTCAACCCCCTCAAAGCAGGCGCTGCTGGGCGGCCGGGGCAGTGTGGGGATAGGTGCCATGCGGTTGGGCAGGGCAGGTCCAATCACATGTCTGGCTCTCCTCTGGAGACGGCTGCTGCCTGAGGTGGATGAGGTGCAGGCTGTGGAGATGGTGGCGATGCCGCTGTCCATGGAGCCTGGCTCCCCAAGGCCCAGCTCCTTGGTCCTGGCAAGCAGGCTTTGGGTCATGAAGGGGTGGTCCAGTACGGCAGACAGGCTGGGCCGCTGCGCAGGGTCCTTCCTCAGCAGCTGGCGGATTAGGTCCTGGGCCTCCTGGGACACGTGGCTGGGCATGTCATACTCCCCCAGGACCACCTTGTTAAGGGTGTGCTTCACCGTGTCTGTGTCAAACGGGGGCCGGCCCATCAGGAAGGCGTAGAACATGCAGCCCAGAGACCAGACATCAGACTCCAGGCCGTGGGCACTGCGGGTGGCCACCTCTGGGGAGATATAGTTGGGTGTGCCACACATGGTGAAGTGCTTCTCACTGGGGAGCTTGAGCTGGGTGGCCAGGCCAAAGTCAGCTATTTTAAGGTTCATATTGCTCGTCAGCAGCAGGTTGGACAAGGTCAGGTCCCGATGCATGATGCCATGTGTATGCAAGTACAGCATACCTTTCACTATTTGATGCATGAAGTGCTGTGCTGTAATGTGAAAAAACCAAATGAAAACAACAGTTATAAAAGGAAATGAGGACAGGTGTCAAGACATGTTAACGTAGATTTCATATCATGTTAAGAGAAGTATCACTGATGCACTCTAGGGTTGGGTGGTATCCAGATTTTCATTTCGTCATATCGTTTCGGTACCATACTGGGGTAAGACTGGGCAATATATATCGAATTAATTCGATTAATTCTAATTTATGTTCTTGAGCGATATTCCAAATACCTGTATTGCAGAATCAAGGTTTTTGATATTTTTGGTTTTATGAGCGTTTATGTCCGCTTGTTCTCATGTTGTCTTTTTGGTCTCGTCTCGTTCGCTCCTTCTGTGCTGTGCGTCTTCCCATTTACACCAGAGATGTGTATATAATGACGAGATGCTCATGTCTCCACCCTAACAATGGGAGTCGTTGTCCCAAAGGCGGGAAGGCAAGCGACAAGCTTAGGTTCAAAATAAGAGCATAGAAACGCACTGGGCTTATTTTTGACAGATTTTGGAGAGAGTGAAACCTCTCGCTTCTCCTCTTTCTCCCAAGCCCCTCCCCCTAACACTAACAACAACAAAGATGAGAGATCACTTCTTCCTCTCTGACAAACGGTTTCAACTCGCTATTTGCATTTGAGGTTTGGTCGAACAGAATCGGTCATATGGACACCGAAACACACAGAGATACAATTTTACTGTAATATAGGAGAAGTTAACCTTTCGAACCATACCCTGTTTATGTTTCAACTCCTCAAATTTCGAGCAGAGCAGATACTACTAAAACGGATGTACCAATGAACATTTATTCTGGACAATTAATGCTCAGTTTATCGCGCGCGCATTACGGTACCACGTATTGCTAGCAGCATTTTAGTCAAATAAATAGTTATACTAGCTGTTTAGTCTGTTTTATAAATGTGCAATAAGCATAAAACAATTATATAAGGAATTAGCAACTCGTTCTCATTCTGAGAAATAAGGTAGGCCACTTGATTTCAACATCTGAACAAAGTGGACAGAAGAGCATGCTGTTCAAACAGTTGGAGACAAACAGAAGGTTGTGTTCATAACAATTCAACTGTTTCGCCTTGTTAGCTGAATTCAGAGCTTGTGAAATTATACCTAGATCCAAGTTGGCTAAACTTGAAATATAAATATTAGCTGGCTACTCACTAGCACGTGGGCTTGTGCTTGAGAGATTGTTTATGAGACTGGTGTTAATTTTCTATTACGCCTGCTACATTATTAGTGAGTGTGCATTATGCATGGTTTTGGTTAAATTTGTTACAAAAATAGCATTTTTATAGACAGACCTGAAAGCCAGATCAATGATTATTGCAAAAAAAAAAGCAGGTACAACTATTATGATAAAATATTTAAATTATTAGTGGGTCTTGTGGTTGTGGAAGGAATATTCAGCTTAGGTACAATTTCACAAACTCTGAATTCATTAGATTATTGCTGACTGTTTTAAATGCAGTGTATCGCCCAGCCCTATACGGGGGGATAGGGTATTACCGAATGTGAACACAAGGGGCGCTAATTTCAAAAACGAAGTAAAAAAAAAACGTTGACAAACAAAACAATTTAGGCAACAGTGATCTTGATACAGGAGGGGATTGAATGTCTCTGCTGTAACCAAGAAGCTTGATCATGACATCTAGCCACTTAGCTAGCAAACCAAATGCATAGCTGGAGTCCTGAGCTGGATATAATTTATTTGACACATCTTAGATTTCTTATAGTTATACTTAATGCACGGTCCCCAACAAAAAAAAGTATATACACTACTGGTCAAAAGTTTTAGAACACCTACTCATTCAAGGGTTTTTCTTCATTTTTACTATTTTCTACATTGTAGAATAATAGTGAAGACATCAAAACTATGAAATAACACATATGGAAATCATGTCGTAACCAAAAAAGTGTTAAACAAATCAAGATATATTTTATATTTGAGATTCTTCAAATAGCCACCTTTTGCCTTGATGACAGCTTTGCACACTCTTGGCATTCTCTCAACCAGCTTCACCTAGAATGCTTTTCCAACAGTCTTGAAGGAGTTCCCACATATGCTGAGCACTTGTTGGCTGCTTTTCCTTCACTCTGCGGTCCAACTCATCCCAAACCATCTCAATTGACTTGAGGTCGGGTGATTGTGGAGGCCATGTCATCTGATGCAGAACTCCATCTCTCTCCTTCTTGGTCAAATAGCCCTTACACAGCCTGGAGGTGTGTTGGGTCATTGTCCTGTTGAAAAACAAATGATAGTCCCACTAAGCGCAAACCAGATGGGATGGCTTATCGCTGCAGAATGCTGTGGTAGCCATGCTGGTTAAGTGTGCCTTTAATTCTAAATAAATCACTGACAGTGTCACCAGCAAAGCGCCCCCACACCATAACACCACCTCCTCCATGCTTAAGGTAGCAAAATACACATGCAGAGATCATCCGTTCACCACACTGCGTCTCACAAAGACACAGCGGTTGGAACCAAAAATCTCACATTTGGACTCCAGACCAAAGGACACATTTCCACCGGTCTGATGTCCATTGCTCGTGTTTCTTGGCCCAAGCAAGTCTCTTCGTCTTACTGGTGTCCTTTAGTAGTGGTTTCTTTGCAGCAATTCGACCATGAAGGCCTGATTCACACAGTCTCCTCTGAACAGTTGATGTTGAGATGTGTCTGTTACTTGAACTCTGTGAAACATTTATTTGGGCTGCAATTTCTGAGGCTGGTAACTCTAATGAACTTATCCTCTGCAGCAGAGGTAACTCTGGGTCTTCCATTCCTGTGGTGGTCCTCATGAGAGCCAGTTTCATCATAGGGCTTGATGGTTTTTGCGACGGCACTTGAAGAAACGTTCAAAGTTCTTGAAATGTTCCGTATTGACTGACCTTCATGTCTTAAAGTAATGAAGGACTGTCGTTTCTCTTTGCTTATTTGAGCTGTTCTTGACATAATATGGACTTGGTCTTTTACCAAATAGGGCTATCTTCTGTATACCCCCCCTACCTTGTCACAACACAACTGATTGGCTCAAACGCATTAAGAAGGAAAGAAATTCCACAAATTAACTTTTAAGAAGGCACACCTGTTAATTGAAATGCATTCCAGGTGACTACCTCATGAAGCTGGTTGAGAGAATGCCAAGTGTGCAAAGCTGTCATCAAGGCAAAGGGTGGCTATTTGAAGAATCTCAAATATATTTTGATTTGTTTAACACTTTTTTGGTTACTACATGATTCCATAAGTGTTATTTCATAGTTTTGATGTCTTCACTATTATTCTACAATGTAGAAAATAGTAAAAATGAAGAAAAACCCTTGAATGAGTAGGTGTTCTAAAACTTTTGACCTACATTTTACATTTTTTACATTTTAGTCATTTAGCAGACGCTCTTATCCATACATTTTATTTTCATACTGGCCCCCCATGGGAATCGAACTCACAACCCTGGCATTGCAAGCGCCATGCTCTACCAACTGAGCTATAAAGGGCTATAGTAGTGTATTTTTTAATTATATTTTTTAAACGGTATTGAAAATCATACCGTTGGTATTTTGAAATACCCCGGTATACGGTATATCGCCCAAGCCTAATGCACTCTCAGGTAAACAATGAGACTCACCATCATCCTCTGAGAGGGGCATCTTCCTGTCTTTCAGGTATCGACTCATCTCTCCATTATGGCACATCTCCAACACCAAGTACACATAGTTACTGTCTTCAAAGTAGTTGTACAGCTGCAAAATAGCAAAATTACAAGCCAAAACGTTATATCAGGGTTAACGCAGTTCTGTAAATTAGTAAATAAGACCTTATTAAAGTAGCACCAATTTCAGCACTACAATGATCAGATAAGCCATAACAGGCCCAACAAAGTTCAACCATGCTTACCTCTAGTATTGACGGATGCTTCAATCGACACTGAATCTCCACTTCGTTACTCACGCGCTGGACCATACCAGATTTGTGCATGGCTTTTTTGTCAATCTGCACAGAGAGGGCAACGATAGAGATAATTACACAGTGAGCTTTATAATACACTGCTTTAGTCTTGTGGTAAACAAACGATCGGTCTTCCACAAAGAGAGTCTGAGAGCTATCCAGAAACAGAACAGACTGTCTGGACTTCCAACAGTCCACAGGGGACCCCTGGGAGGGGAGCTTAGGGAAAATACAAGGCTCTGCTAAACACCACCTGGTAGTGAGAGGATGATGAGTGGATAATTCTTCACTGTGTAGGCTATGTCAACATTTCTAAACCTGTGATTTGTCTGCTTGCACTTGACAATAAACACTTTGTGCTGATGAGCTCTTACATGTGTTTTTACCCCATGGTACAGGAACAGCATGAAACAAGCTTACACCATAAAAGTACTGGGATGTGGACTGTATAGCAACTTTAAAAATTGTACATTCTTACCATTTTGATCGCCACCTCCAAGCCAGTGTTCACTGACTTTGCACGGTAAACACATGCAAAGGAGCCCTTCCCAAGGAGGGTGAGAACTTTGAAGTCCTGAAAAAGAGAAAGAAAACATTTTCACATATGCAATATATCAGTCCAAAATCAATAAGCTAATATTTACATTACAACAAATATGACTAGAATATGTCATATAGCTAGGCCTATGTCCTAAAAATGTCCTAGATTTGCCTGTCAGTTGTTTTTGATAGAGGATGATTCTGATGTGATACCTCAATCTTTAGCTCCCCAGCTGTAGACAAGATTCTCTCCTCATCTTCACTGACTTTGCATTTTGTTGATAGGTTTTGAAATAAATAATGTAGAACTTTATCGAACATCTTCCCTCTGATATGTGTCATGTAGCTGGCTAGACAGACAGTGATTGAGTACAACACTACAACAACCGTAGCTAACGTTAACGTTACCATTTGGTCGTTATGGCTAGCCAACCGTCAGAAGTAAAACATCAAAACATCTGTCTCTGTCATATGGCCAACCAAAACCTTTAATTATCCCGGCTCTCTTCCCGCTAATGAGCAGGCGTTGCGGTACCTGTCACCTGGCAACAATAAACCGATGCGGTAAATCGCAGGGGGGCATGTCTCAGTCAAAACAGTCAACAACAACTCGGCTGCAGCAGCCAGCGCTACTGGTTTTAGCCACCAGCTAGCTAAATTAAAGTTACTCGTCTGCTTTGCTGATTACGAATTATGCTAAGTGGGTAACGTTTGTAGACAACTGACGTAAGCTTGCTATTTAGCTAGCTAATTGTAATGTATTAGCTGCGGGTTAGCCAGCTAACTAGCTAACGTTAGCTAGGTCGACAACTCACCTCGATTTTATCGCCGATTGAAACACTCATCTTGCTTCTTATTTGTCTTCCCAATCGATACAAAATTATTACTCAATACATGTTCATCCAGGTAAACTAATCAGCGGCCGTAAACGACCTTAAATACAACAAACGAATGTTGCCCCTCCAAAACTTTGGTATTTCTTCCATTTTGAAAATATCCGCCCGTTACCCTCGTGGTCACGTGACTGTACACGTCATATGGCAACAAGCAAATGTAGCTACACCCACTTCGAATGCTCCTCAAGCTAAGGGGAGCTTATCAGGAACAAAAAGCACTAGATGCCTTAAAATAACATTGGGTCCTTCTGTGTAAACAACTTTCTCATTTAGTAACTTGACATTTAGAGTTGCTTTGTAGCATAATAGACCTTCAATAAGATGAAGATAATTTGAATACACTTTTTTAGCACTTTAGTCAAATACATTTAGATCAAGAATGAAATAGTACAATGTTTATCTTAAAGACAAATAATGCATTTACATTTACATTTTAGTCATTTAGCAGACGCTCTTATATAGAGCGAATTACAGTAGTGAGTGCATACATTTATTTATTTATACATTTATTACTTGCCGTCTACACATCTCATGACTGAAAATATGGAAATGCATGAAAACAAGTAAAGAAATAGGCATCCAGTCCATTGCCCTTCTCTCTTTGCTAACAACACTAGGAATGTATCCTCTATATACACAACTATAGGCACTGGCCAGTTTAAATTACTAAAATAATATTTACAGAATCTAGGCATACAGACATCCTTTCAAGTTCATATATTAAATACAAATATATATAATATGTATTATTGCATACATATTTTACTAATAGTTTAATCAGCCATAGCGATTGTTCAGACAGTAATTCTACTTATGTTCCACTACAAGGTTATGTGCAATAAGAGTCACCTTAGAGATCTGATGCTTATGGGACTTTTGAAATGCAAACACGTAAGGTATAAAAACTGTTTTTGGGAGAGCCAGCATTGTTTTCATCTATATCTAATCTTACAGTTAATGACTATATAAGGTATTGTCTAACCTCTGAGGGAGGAGCACACCATTGTAACATACAAGGGAAAGTAAAAAAAATATCAAAAGGAAAACAATCTAACAGGGGGACTCTGAATACAAATGCACAAAACAGCCCATTGAGTGGTGGTGGACATGGAAAAATGGTCCCGGATATACTATGTACTGTATGTTTGGGTAGACCTTGTCTAAATGGTCTGATGGGAGCTAGAGTGCTGGTAGCAGAGCTTGTTTGGCAGAGGGGCTCAGTCAATCTCCATCTCTCCTGAAGGAGGCTTTGTCTGGTTGCTACCGTTTGCCGCGCCCCTCCCGCCGTTATGAGCCCCATTGCTCTTGTCATTCTCCTCTGACACATGCTCTGCTTTGGGATTCGGCCGGTTGACCACTGGGTTGCATACTTCATCCAGTTCCTAAAGTATAGGTATATGTGGAAGATAGGAGGATGCAGTATTATTAAAATAATCAGTACCTGGTGACGATGGGCCAATAGCATGTCATATGATTGAATCATTCACACTTATCACACACACCTGTATTTTGGAAATTATGTCTGCTACTTTCACGACTGGGTCCTGGGCGATGGTGAGTTGGCTCTGGGCATTCATCTTGCTGTTCATCCAGCCCATGCTTTCATTTAAACACTTCTCCACGTTGCTAATCTCCTCAGCATTCAGATGCTGGTAACGCTCATCCTGAGTGTTGATAGGAAACAAAACAATTAGAGATGGCACACCTCTATCTCATTAAGTGAATCACCTCATCTATGCCCTCACAAATCAAATAAAATCAAATGTTATTTGTCACATTTGCCGAATACAACAGGTGTAGACCTTACAGTGAAATGCTTACTTACAAGTCCTTAACCAGCAATGCACTTTTAAGAAAAATAAGGGTTAAGTAAAAAATAGATTTAGAGAAATTATATGCAAATAGTCCGGGTAACCATTTGATTAGCTGTTCAGGAGTCTTATGGCTTGGGGGCAAAAGCTGTTAAGAAGCCTTTTGGACCTAGACTTGGCACTCCGGTACCGCTTGGCTTGCAGTAGCAGAGAGAACAGTCTATGACTAGGGTGGCTGGAGTCTTTGACAATTTTTAGGGCCTTCCTCTGACACCGCCTGGTATAGAGGTCCTGGATGTCAGGAAGCTTGGCCCCAGTGATGTACTGGGCCGTACGCACTACCCTCTGTAGTGCCTTGCGGTCGGAGGCCGAGCAGTTGCCATACCAGGCAGTGATGCAACCAGTCAGGATGCTCTCGATGGTGTAGCTGTAGAACTTTTATGAGGATCTGAGGACCCATGCCAAATCTTTTCAGTCTCCTGAGGGGGAATAGGCTTTGTCATGCCCTCTTCACGACTGTCTTGGTGTGTTTGGACCATGATAGTTTGTTAGTGATGTGGACACCAAGGAACTTGAAGCCCTCAACCTGCTCCACTACAGCCCTGTCGATGAGAATGGGGGCATGCTCGGACCTCTTCTTTTTCCTGTAGTCCACAATCATCACCTTTGTCTTGATCACGTTGAGGGAGAGGTTGTTATCCTGGCACCACACGGCCAGGTCTCTGACCTCCACCCTATAGGCTGTCTCATCATTGTCGGAGATCAGGCCTACCACTGTTGTGTCGTCTGCAAACTTAATGATGGTGTTGGAGTCGTGCCTGGCCATGCAGTCATGGGTGAACAGGGAGTACAGGAGGGGACTGAGCACGCACCCCTGAGGGGCCACCGTGTTGAGGATCAGCATGGCAGATGTGTTGTTACCTACCCTTACCACCTGGGGGCGGCCCATCAGGAAGTCCAGGATCCAGTTGCAGAGTGAGGTGTTTAGTCCCAGGGTCCTTGGCTTAGTGATGAGCATTGAGGGCACTATGGTGTTGAACGCTGAGCTGTAGTCAATGAAAAACATTCTCACGTAGGTGTCCCTTTTGTCCAGGTGGGAAAGGGCAGTGTGGAGTGCAAATAGAAATTGCATCATTTGTGGATCTGTTGGGGCGGTATGCAAATTGTTGTAGGTCTAGGGTTTCTGGGATAATGGTGTTGATGTGAGCCATGACCAGTTTTTAAAGCATTTCATGGCTACAGACGTGAGTGCTACGGGTCGGTAGTCATTTAGGCAGGTTACCTTAGTGTTCTTGGGCACAGGGACTATGGTGGTCTGCTTGAAACATGTTGGTATTACAGTTAGGGACAGGTTGAAGACAACTGCTAGTTGGTCAGCGCATGCTCGGAGTACACGTCCTGGTAATCCGTCTTGCCCTGCGGCCTTGTGAATGTTGACCTGTTTAAAGGGCTTACTCACATCGGCTAAGGAGAGCGTGATCACACAGTCGTCTGGAACAGCTGATGCGCTCATACATGCTTCAGTGTTGCTTGCCTCGAAGCGAGCATAGAAGTAATTTAGCTCTTCTGGTAGGCTCGTGTCACTGGGCACCTCGCGGCTGTGCTTCCCTTTGTAGTCTGTAATAGTTTGCAAGCCATGCCACATCCGACGAGCGTCGGAGCCGGTGTAGTGCGATTCAATCTTAGTCCTGTATTAACGCTTTGCCTGTTTGATGGTTCGTCGGAGGGCATAGCAGGATTTCTTATAAGCGTCCGGGTTAGAGTCCCGCTCCTTGAAAGCAGCAGCTCTACCCTTTAGCTCAGTGTGGATGTTGCCTGTAATCCATGCCTTCTGGTTGGGGTATGTACGTACAGTCACTGTGGGGACGACGTCATCGATGCACTTATTGATGAAGCCATTGAATGATGTGGTGTACTCCTCAATGCCATCGGAAGAATCCCGGAACATATTCCAGTCTGTGCTAGCAAACAGTCCTGTAGCTTAGCATCTGCGTCACCTGACCACTTCTTTATTGACCGAGTCACTGGTGCTTCCTGCTTTAGTTTTTGTTTGTAAGCAGGAATCAGGAGGATAGAGTTATGGTCAGATTTGCCAAATGGAGGGCGAGGGAGAGCTTTGTACACGTCTCTGTGTGTGGAGTAAAGGTGGTCTAGAGTTTATTTTCCTCTGTAAGTTTCCCTGCATGAAAGTCCCCAGCCACTAGGAGCCCCGCCTCTGGACAAACAAATCAATTAATAAAAATGTCACAGATGGTTTATTACATACATCCTGGGTTAAACCCAGAGACAGATTAAGTCACAATAGTGTCACAACTGCTCATAAAATTACTATGACAATGACCTAACCAGCTTTGAAAAGTGTGTACAGGCCCCAGAGGAGTGTCCTGAATATGGAAAAGGAAAGTAACTAGCACAATCCCAACAGAGCAGTGGTGTAGTAGTTCACAGAGAAATAGAGGCATTGTAAATGGGCTCAGCATAATTTCATTGCATCTCACACTGAGCTTTAATTAAAAAATAAATAAAAATTATTTCACCTTTATTTAACCAGGTAAGCCAGTTGAGAACAAGTTCTCATTTACAACTGCGACCTGGCCAAGATAAAGCAAAGCAGTGCGATAAAAACAACAACAGAGTTACATATGGAATAAACAAAACGTCCAGTCAATAACACAATAGAAAATGTGTGCAAATGTAGTAAGTTAAGGCAATAAATAGGCCATAGTGCAAAATAATTACAATTTAGTATTAACACTGGAGTGATAGTTGTGCAGAAGATGATGTGCAAATAGAGATACTGGGGTGCAAATGAGCAAAATAAATAACAATATGGGGATGAGGTAGTTGGGTGGGCTAATTACAGATGGGCTGTGTACAGGTGCAGTGATCGGTAAGCTGCTCTGACAACTGATGCTTAAAGTTAGTGAGAGATAAGAGTCTCCAGCTTCAGAGATTTTTGCAGTTCGTTCCAGTCATTGGCAGCAGAGAACTGGAAGGAATGGCGGCCAAAGGAGGTGTTGGCTTTGGGGATGGCCAGTGAGATATACCCGCTGGAGCGCATACTACGGGTGAGTGTTGCTATGGTAAGATAAGGCGGGGATTTGCCTAGCAGTGACTTATAGATGACCTGGAGCCAGTGGGTTTGGCGACAAATATGTAGTGAGGGCCAGCCAACGAGAGCGTATAGGTCACAATGGTGGGTAGTGTATGGGGCTTTGGTGAAAAAACGGATGGCACTGTGATAGACTACATCCAATTTGCTGAGTAGAGTGTTGGAGGCTATTTTGTAAATTACATTGCCGAAGTCAAGGATTGGTAGGATAGTCAGTTTTACAAGGGCATGTTCGGCAGCATGAGTGAAGGAGGCTTTGTTGCGAAATAGGAAGCCGATTCTAGATTTAACTTTGGATTGGAGATGCTTAATGTGAGTCTGGAAGGAGAGTTTACGGTCTAACCAGACACCTAGCTATTTGTAGTTGTTCACATATTCTAAGTCAGACCCGCCGAGAGTAGTGATTCTAGTCGGGCGGGCGGGTGCAAGCAGTGTTCGACTGAAGAGCATGCATTTAGTTTTACTAGCGTTTAAGAGCAGTTGGAGGCTACTGAAGGAGTGTTGTATGGCATTGAAGCTCGTTTGGAGGTTTGTTAACACAGTGTCCAATGAAGGGCCAGATGTATACAAAATGGTGTCGTCTGCGTAGAGGTGGATCTGAGAGTCACCAGCAGCAAGAGCGACATCATTGATATACACAGAGAATAGAGTCGGCCCGAGAATTGAACCCTGTGGCACCTCCATAGAGACTGCCAGAGGTCCAGACAACAGGCCCTCCGATTTAAAGGTGATGCATGGTCAATCTGACGTCTGCATTGGCTGTGCAGCATTTACGGTGATATGGCCTCTGCAGAAGTCAGGGCATTCATACTTCTTGCACTTCGCCAAGCAGCGCAGAGCTGTTGTGAAGGAAGTCGTCAAGGAAGTGAGTTTGTGTTTATACAGGACCTCCCGCCCTCACCTACCGTCAACCAATCTTGTCAATGCGGAGCTATATGGAGCCCTCCGCATTGCAAAGAAAATTGAGAGGTGCATGGCAATGCGGTACAGAGCTGAATTTGGCCTCTGCATGCCTCCGGAGGCTCCACAATTGCGTCACACCATCCATACGGCGCCTCTGACCACATTTTCGGATCAAGCATAAATTGGCTCTTAGTGTCTCATCACTCCACAGAAACCATGTTCCCACTGAGGGTTAAATGTTTTTAAAGTGGGAGGGAACAAGCACGCAAGAGCATAATAATGAGGGGGTTCGATTAATCCCGCCCGGGCACCAGGGTAGATGTGTTATGCACCGGCTGAAAGTTCATTGCATTCGATTTGGAACCGGGCTGCCTCCTGGGCGCGAGCCAGGTGCCCCGCTCTGTCCGACGGCGAAGTCGGCTTAAAAAAAAAGGTGATGTAATTAAGCACGTGCAGTAATTAATAGGATTCTTTGTTTTCCCATGCAAAAGTGATTGCTTTTGATAAAAACAGTTTATCTGCTTCCCAATGAAAACTAATTTGAAAATGCAAACATTTATTTAATGGAAAAGAGATTTATGGAAGTTGCACCATGCTGCCTTGTTGACAACATGACCAAGCAGCGCAGATTACTGTTCGATTTGAGAAGGGCACACCTCCCTCCCCACTTTCGCCCGATTAGGGGCCATTGCCCAGTTCAACCCGGGCAGCGTAAAATAACTCCCTCAATGCCTTTTCGGACAGTAGTACAATCGAAAAAACTAAGTGACGCTCAAGGATGAAAGGATGCTGAACTATAACATAAAAATATTCCAGTTTTTACCTTCTGTTTATAAAGCTCCACAGCCTTCATATAGAGTTGGATCTTCTTGCCAATCTCTTCAAATGCCCTCGGCCTGTCTTCCTGCTCCCTGTGCCTGTCATGAATGGGCTGGCCAAACCTCTGGAAAAGGACATCAGTCAAATAAATCACTCAAATCAAGTCACATTCCTAAACATTCAGGCTGTCCACCTAAATGCCCCAAATACATTTGTTTATTATTCATGTTTCTTTCTCCTGATTTCAGAATTGCCATAATAGCAGACTGGTGCAGGCAGACGCTGGATATAGAAATCCTTTATGCTAAATAAACACTAACCTTGAGATCTTCCAGCTTGTCCACATAGACCTGTTTGGCTTGGTCCTCTCCCTCCTCATAAAGCCAGTTCTCTGTGTCCTCGAGCATCAGCGTCAGACGATTACTGTCCTTTTTGAAAGGTGAGAAAGGCCAAAACAGGTATCAGCAAACACATTCTGTATTGCATAGTCTTATTCTTTGTTCAATGTGGCAGTATTTATTTCATAGTTAAAAGGAATCTGTTCATCTAGGTTCTTACCTCCACAGTGGTGTACTTCTCATAGATGCCACACAGTTTGTCCCGCAGGTCGTACACATACTCCTCCACAGCATTCTTAGCATCATTCCTCTCTTTTTCCAGCTTGTCCTGGATGATCATCTGGCCCTGAGGGACACCGAGAGAAAGAGAGGGAGAGACAGAGTGAGACATGTAACAGAGTTAAGAACATGCCGTAAGCTCACACCACAGCTAGCTTGAAATGTCGCCAATGGAGCTATATAATTGGTACCTTTTGTATAGCTCAAACGGTTGGTACGTTTTCAAGGAGGGCTGTCACGTGTGTTGCGGAGCAGAGGATCACTGGTTCGAGCCCGGTATGGGGACAGGGACAGTGGAGGAAGCTAAACTGTTAGCAGCACACTGACGTCGGCTACACTGAGAGCCAAAATCAGCCTTCCGCCTCCTCTAATACCCACTCCCAGGCGGCTCAATGGAAGCCAGACCCACAGAAATATAGGCCACATGAGCTACATCATCTGCCAGTTTTGTAGAAGTGTACAACATAGGTCAAACATGAATGAGACAACTAATGCAGAAATTGCCTTTACAGTTCCAAAGCTGCAGATAATTAACCTTCCTACAGAAACCCTTACTACTCATGTTTTATGTCTTTGAACTAAACAAGGCAGGTAAGTTTTACTTTACAGTAAGTCTTTTCTCTTGGTTCGATGAGAATATGACTCAGCTGCTGGGGAGTCGGGGCCTTTAGAGTGACTCACCTCATACTCCACAAAGTCATTGAGGACCCCCCTGTCCAGCTGTCTGATGGTGTTGGCCAGGATGGGAAGGTCAGTGCTTTTCACTTTTACTTTAGGCTTGCTTCCCCCTGATGCTGGGTCCTGCTTCTCCCCAGGGACTCCGTCCTTTGTTGGGCGAAAAAAACCATTATATTGGTTCTCAGTGTTTCACAAGACATAAAAGTTTAAATGTAATTATAGTTCCTTATGATTCACATGCTCACCTTACTGCCGGAGCTGGCATCCTCATTCTGCTGGTCCACCTGGCCTTGACCCTCCTGGTCCACCTGCATTTTAGTCTGAGACAGTAGGACACCATCACAACCACATCACCTAAATCTTACAATCAACGCTTGGCTGCTCTCATGCTCTACTTACAGTAGCTTTGACACCTTAGTAGTGTAATTAATTACGTTACACCTACGTCTATATAAACCAGCTTACTTCAAGCTGCACACCCCTCCTGTTAACCTAATCAAAATATATACTGTTCAAGGATGCCAATTAGAATGTTATAATCTGTATGAGTAACACATTAAAATACACTGAAATATTGATAATATCAAAGGAGTGGAGAATGATTTTTTTTGTAGCAGACACAGGTACAGCACAGCCTGTGAAGGATAGAGTTATGAAGATGTGGAAAGCATTTTCAACTTAATAGCTATTCCACTGGCTCCATGTATCCTCTTGCGTCACACACTGCCAAGCCCGGTTATACAAACACACACGTTCTCCCAGGCTCAATGTGATGAACCTTAATGAGACCAGTGCTCCACAGATGAGACCAGAATTGTATCACAGAGGGGGAAGTAGCGTATGAAAAAGGATTGAAGTGAGGGCTAATCACACATAGTGACCATAAAACCTCATATATAGTTAATACAGTTACAGTGGCTTGTGAAAGGATTCACCCCCCTTGGCATTTTTCCTGTTTTGTTGCCTTACAACCTGGAATTAAAATTGATTTTTGGGGGGTTTGTATAATTTGATTTACACAACACGCCTACCACTTTGAAGATGCAAAATATTTTTTATTGTGAAACAAACAAGAAATAAGACAAAAAAACTGAAAACTTGAGCGTGCATAACTATTCACCCCCCCGAAGTCAATACATTGTAGAGCCACCTTTTGCAGCAATTACAGCTGCAAGTCTCTTGGGGTATGTCTCTATAAGTTTGGCACATCTAGCGACTGGGATTGTTGCCCATTTTTCAAGGCAAAACTGCTCCAGCTCCTTCAAGTTGGATGGGTTCCGCTGGTGTACAGCAATCTTTAAGTCATACCACAGATTCTCATTTGGATTGAAGTCTGGGCTTTGACTAGGCCATTCCAAGACATTTAAATGTTTCCCCTTAAACCACTCGAGTGTTGCTTTATCAGTATGCTTAGGGTCATTGTCCTGCTGGAAGGTGAACCTCCGTCCCAGTCTCAAATCTCTGGAAGACTGAAACAGGTTTCCCTCAAGAATTTCCCTGTATTTAGCGCCATCCATCATTCCTTCAATTCTGACCAGTTTCCCAGTCCCTGCCGATGAAAAACATCCCCACAGTATGATGCTGCCACCACAATGCTTCACTGTGGGGATGGTGTCAAACATCAAACGTGTTTGCTTATTTTTTTCTTTAAGCAATGGCTTTTTTCTGGCCACTCTTCCGTAAAGCCCAGCTCTGTGGAGTGTATGGCTTAAAGTAGTCCTATGGACAGATACTCCAACCCTGAAGGAGCTTTGCAGCTCCTTCAGGGTTATCTTTGGTCTCTTTGTTGCCTCTCTGATTAATGCCCTCCTTGCCTGGTCCGTGAATTTTGGTGGGTGGCCCTCTCTTGGCAGGTTTGTTGTGGTGCCATATTCTTTCCATTTTTTTATAATGGATTTAATGGTGCTCCGTGGGATGTTGAAAGTTTCTGATATTTTTTTTTATAACCCAACCTTGACCTGTACTTCTCCACAACTTTGTCCCTGATCTGTTTGGAGAGCTCCTTGGTCTTCATGGTGCCGCTTGCTTTGTGGTGCTCCTTGCTTACTGGTGTTGCAGACTCTGGGGCCTTTCAGAACAGGTGTATATATACTGAGATCATGTGACAGATCATGTGACACTTTATTTAACTAATTATGAGACTTCTGAAGGTAATTAGTTGCACCAGATCTTATTTAGGGACTCCATAGCAAAGGGGGTGAATACATATGCACGCACCACTTTTCCATTATTTATTTATTATAATATTTTGAAACAAGTTATTTTTTTCATTTCACTTCACCAATTTGGACTATTTTGTGTATGTCCATTACATGAAATACAAATAAAAATCAATTTAAATTACAGGTTGTAATGCAACAAAATAGGAAAAATGCCAAGGGCAATGAATACTTTTGCAAGGCACTGTATATATGTCATCTTCAATGGGAGGAGAGGGGTGGAGCTTCAAGAGCCAGGAATAGAGAGAAAATGGGCTTCAGTAAAATTTACCACACAGGTATAGACATGAAGTCATATCAGTGCTCTAAGTCTTAGACATACAACATTCAAATGGGAAGATTAAACAATGGCTTCTTTGCCATGCGTTCTTAAATCTTAAAATAGGGTGAAGGGGCTGAAAAACGAACTTCACCAATGTGAAATTCAGGTGAATCTTCTCACTCCTTCTCTTTCTGTTACCTGGTCCTCTGGCCTTCCTTCATTCTGCACAGTAGGTTCCATGTCCATCTGAACATCATCTCCTTCACCCTTCTGCTTCTCGATCAGGGAGGCGCTGGAAACACTGAAGATGCCGTGCACGTTTACGCGCACTTTGACCTTCACTTTGGAGCTGTCTCCATCAGGCTGGGGCACCACATTCTGAACAGAAAAATGCCCTGAGAAAGCAAGAGAGAAGGAGGCAGGTGGAGAGGCATTCAAATGTCACACCTGATGGAGTCACATGAAATGACACAAACACACTGGAGAATTGACATGCCCATCAGAGACAGGGGAAGGAGGATGAGGTCTGATTAGTCATTGCACTTCTTCCAAACTGAAATCCCACCTGAGAGATCCCCTTATAATACACACACACTCTCTCTCACACACACACACACACACACACACACACACACACACACACACACACACACACACACACACACACACACACACAGCTCTGCTCTGTAAATACTCATGTGACTCATAGGGAAGCAGTGTTCCATGGGAGATTTAAGCCTGTCCTAATTACCAGCCAGGTGGGAGACCCCCACTATATGGTTGAAATGTTCATCATCAGGTAGGCCACCAAAAAACAATTGGGTGATCTGAAAAGTCATAGTCAATCGATCAATAATATAATAATACTTTTAGCAAAAATGTTTATTTTCAATTTACGATCTGTAGAAACAATGAGAATACAAAGGTTCAGAACTTTTGTAAAACATCACAGTACTGTTGAAAAATATATGGCAAATACAAATCCAATATGGATGGTGTTAAGAGATAGATGGGAGGTGTTGAATGGAGCTGAAGGATGGGACTAATAACAACAACTAATAACAACAAAATAACTAATGTAAAGCATACTGTGTCCATAATAAGTATATAGGTTATAGGTTGAGAGCTTTTGTGAAAGAGCAGTTAGAAAAATATGGCATATAGAAGCAAACCAGATGGACATCATGAAAATGATCGGAGGAAGTTCAGGTGTAAAAACAAACAAAATATAATTGTAGAATTTGACTGTGTCCATACATTTACATTTTACCATAAAATGTATATAGTATGTATGGACTGGAATTAGAGGCCTAAGCGTTGTTGTTCACTAGTTTACTCCAATTGGGGAAGGGGTGGTGGGGTTGGAAAGTAATGAAGGGAAATATAATTTTTAAAAGGATATGTGTGTGTGTATGGATGGATGTACAGTGGGGAGAACAAGTATTTGATACACTGCCGATTTTGCAGGTTTTCCTACTTACAAAGCATGTAGAGGTCTGTAATTTTTATCATAGGTACACTTCAACTGTGAGAGACGGAATCTAAAAAATCCAGAAAATCACATTGTATGATTTTTAAGTAATTAATTTGCATTTTATTGCATGACATAAGTATTTGATCACCTACCAACCAGTAAGAATACCGGCTCTCACAGACCTGTTAGTTTTTCTTTAAGAAGCCCTCCTGTTCTCCACTCATTACCTGTATTAACTGCACCTGTTTGAACTCGTTACCTGTATAAAAGACACCTGTCCACACACTCAATCAAACAGACTCCAACCTCTCCACAATGGCCAAGACCAGAGAGCTGTGTAAGGACATCAGTGATATAATTGTAGACCTGCACAAGGCTGGGATGGGCTACAGGACAATAGGCAAGCAGCTTGGTGAGAAGGCAACAACTGTTGGCGCAATTATTAGAAAATGGAAGAAGTTCAAGATGACGGTCAATCAACCTCGGTCTGGGGCTCCATGCAAGATCTCACCCTGTGGGGCATCAATGATCATGAGGAAGGTGAGGGATCAGCCCAGAACTACACGGCAGGACCTGGTCAATGACCTGAAGAGAGCTGGGACCACAGTCTCAAAGAAAACCATTAGTAACACACTACGCCGTCATGGATTAAAATCCTGCAGCGCACGCAAGGTCCCCCTGCTCAAGCCAGCGCATGTCCAGGCCCGTCTGAAGTTTGCCAATGACCATCTGGATGATCCAGAGGAGGAATGGGAGAAGGTCATGTGGTCTGATGAGACAAAAATAGAGCTTTTTGGTCTAAACTCCACTCGCCGTGTTTGGAGGAAGAAGAAGGATGAGTACAACCCCAAGAACACCATCCCAACCGTGAAGCACCATCCCAACCATGAAGCATGGAGGTGGAAACATCATTCTTTGGGGATGCTTTTCTGCAAAGGGGACAGGACGACTGCACCGTATTGAGGGGAGGATGGATGGGGCCATGTATCACGAGATCTTGGCCAACAACCTCCTTCCCTCAGTAAGAGCATTGAAGATGGGTCGTGGCTGGGTCTTCCAGCATGACAACGACCCGAAACACACAGCCAGGGCAACTAAGGAGTGGCTCCGTAAGAAGCATCTCAAGGTCCTGGAGTGGCCTAGCCAGTCTCCAGACCTGAACCCAATAGAAAATCTTTGGAGGGAGCTGAAAGTCCGTATTGCCCAGCGACAGCCCCGAAACCTGAAGGATCTGGAGAAGGTCTGTATGGAGGAGTGGGCCAAAATCCCTGCTGCAGTGTGTGCAAACCTGGTCAAGACCTACAGTAAACGTATGATCTCTGTAATTGCAAACAAAGGTTTCTGTACCAAATATTAAGTTCTGCTTTTCTGACGTATCAAATACTTATGTCATGCAATAAAATGCACATTAATTACTTAAAAATCATACAATGTGCTTTTCTGGATTTTTGTTTTAGATTCCGTCTCTCACAGTTGAAGTGTACCTATGATAAAAATTACAGACCACTACATGCTTTGTAAGTAGGAAAACCTGCAAAATCGGCAGTGTATCAAATACTTGTTCTCCCCACTGTATGTGTGTGTATGTTTGTGTATGTATGTGTATATGTGTATGTGTATATATGTATGTATATATATATATATATATAGATATATGTTCCAAGATGGCATAGCAGTGTGGTCGTGTTTTCTGTAGTGTCCTCATGTAAATAGCCTGTTTTTTGTTTTCTCAATCTCACTTTCCATCCTTTAACTAAATATACTTTCCTGCAACCCACCTCACCCAATGTGGAACGGATTCTATTATTTCTTCATACATTTTTATCCAGAACCTCTGGCTGAAACGTGGCCATGGCCTGCACTACCTACCAGCCAGCTCTAGCCTGGACAATTATCGGCCAGTCTGCACAGTCTGCACATCGCGGTATCGAGCCAGAGAATATCAGATTTTCTGCCGGAATCACTGAATCACTGGACCTTAACACCGGATCATCGCAACTAGCTAGCTGCAACCGAATGGCTGTTGGCGTTGTTGGCTAATCACCACTGTCCTGAAGCTAACCCCAGTTAGCCTTGAGCTAGCCTCGAGCCAGGCCCATCTCCCGGCTATCTACCTCTCTGTCAACCGGACGGGACCTCCTAGTGTTGACACGGAGCCCCGCTGATCCATCACCACTGGTCTGCCGATGTAATCATCTGATGTGGTTTTAACAGGCTTCCCGTTGCGACGACCACGAAGATCCATCTGCTAGCCCCGGCCCGCTAGCACACGCAATCAACAGCCGTGCCTCCAGCTCGCCTGTAGCGTAGCAGCCACTGAACTGCTCCCGGACTTACTTATTGCTGTTCACTGGACCTTATGATCACTCAGCTACAGTGATCCCTCGCCACTTCGCGGTTCACTTATCGCGGATTCGCTATTTCGCGGATTTTCATAATGCATTTTTTTTTTTTTTTTGGTGCATTGTGCTCTGCATTCTGATTCGCTAAAAACTCACTCCCGCTTCTTGTATCAAAACATGCTACGAATTGTGCTATCATTTTGTCGTCTCGTGCAGTTATGTGTACGTACATAAAACAGCTTGGCAAATTTACATTAAGTTGGCCAAATTATCTTGTAATTTCGAACATCTTCTAAACCCATAATGTCGACGAAACGGCCTACACGTGAGTCACTGTATTTGTATACATGTAATAGTTGCTAATTGTAAAAAAAAAAAAGTTTTCTATTTCGCGGATTTCACTTATCGCGGGTCATTTTCGGAACGTAACCCCCGCGATAAACGAGGGATTACTGTACACAGCTGATGCCTGCTGGACTGTTCCTTTATACGTTACCCCATCCTGTTGATCTGTTTAGCCTCAGCTCAAACTTTCGTTGCCATTACCAGCTGTTGTCTTAGCTCTCTCGAATAACACCTGTGACTGCTTTATGCCTATCTCCCATGTCAATATGCCTTGCCTATAGCTGTTTCGGTTATTTTGAACTGTACTTTTTCAATGTAGAGCCCCCAGTCCTGCTCAACCTGTCTCAGATAGATCCTTTGTCCCACCCCCCACACACACGGAGACCGGCTCAATCGATGCCTCCAGTGATGCTATCTCTTTCATCTTTACCCAACGTTTCGGAGGACCTGTTGTCTGGACCTCTGGCAGTCTCTACGGGGGTGCCACAGGGTTCAATTCTCAGGCCGACTCTATTCTCTGTGTATATCAATGATGTCGCTCTTGCTGCTGGTGACTCTCAGATCCACCTCTACGCAGACAACACCGTTTTGTACACATCTGGCCCTTCATTGGACACTGTGTTAACAAACCTCCAAACAAGCTTCAATGCCATACAACACTCCTTCCGTGGCCTCCAACTGCTCTTAAACGCTAGTAAAACTAAATGCATGCTCTTCAATCGAACGCTGCTTGCACCCGCCTGCCTGACTAGAATCACTACTCTCGGCGGCTCTGACTTAGAATATGTGGACAACTACAAATACCTAGGTGTCTGGTTAGACTGTAAACTCTCCTTCCAGACTCACATTAAGCATCTCCAATCCAAAGTTACATCTAGAATAGGCTTCCTATTTCGCAACAAAGCCTATGGCCTATTTATTGCCTTACCTCCATAACTTACTACATTTGCACACACTGTATATAGATTTTCTATTGTGTTATTGACTGTACATTTTGTTTATTCCATATGTAACTCTGTGTTGTTGTTGTTTTTTTTCGCACTGCTTTGCTTTATCTTGGCCAGGTCGCAGTTGTAAATGAGAACTTGTTCTCAACTGGCTTACCTGGTTAAATAATGGTGAAATAATTTTTAAAAGAAAATATATATATGTGTACAGTTGAAGTCAGAAGATTACATACACTTAGGTTGGAGTCATTAAAACTCGTTTTTCAACCACTCCCCTAATGTCTTGTTA